CCCATCCAGCTCCCTGCTTGTGGCCTGGGAAAGCAGTTGAGGACAGCCCAAAGCCTTGGGACCCTGCACCCGTGTGGGAGACCCAGAAGAAGTTCTTGGCTCCTGGCTTTGGATTGGCTCAGCTCCAGCCATTGCAGTTGCTTGGGGAGTGAATCAGCAGATGGAAGATCTTCCTCTCTGTCTCTCCTCCTCTTTGCATATCTGACTTTTTAATTAAAATAGATCTTTAACTAACTAATGCCACTCATTTGAGAGACCCCGATCAAGTTCCTGATTTCCTGTTTTTGCCTGGGTCCAGCCCTAACTGGTGTGGGTGTGTACACACACACACACACACACACACACACACACACACACACACACACACACACACACACACACACACACACACACACACACACACACACACACACACACACACACACACACACACAGCCTGTGTTTGAATTAGGTGGGTGGGCGAGTGCTGTTGGGATTTTTCCTCATGGACACTGTCTCATCCAGATAATGGTATTCCCACATCACAGGACTCAAGCTGTAAGCAGTGACTCAAAACAGAGACTCCAAGACTGACACAGCCATCCTGGACCCAGTGGCCACCTTGAATACCCGCTTACCCAGGACTACCGTAAATCCCCTAGGTCTCGGGCCCCCTGAATACCCGCTTACCCAGCACTGCCGTAAATCTCCTAGGTCTCGGCCACCTTAAGGCCCACTTGCCTAAATAAGCTCAGTGACCCTCAGGTTCAAACCGTGCGCTCACCAATCCCGAGGCGCCTATCCCTGGTGTGTCCACCTACAGCTTCATCTGCCAGTCCCTCACCACGCTCCACATACGCACCTCGGGGCTGCAAAAATGCCTCTGCCCTTTGTTCTCTTCTCATGCTCTCTGTCTCTCTTCTGTCTTCTCTGCCTCTCTCAGCTCCCGCTTACTCCCTGACCCACGGCTACCTCCCCCCGCCGAAATAAAGACCTCTCATGTGGCTCGCTTATTGTGTCTGGAATCTTGAGTTTGTGGCCACAAGCTAACACAAACTGTGAGGGTCACAGTGATGACAAAGTTGCCACAGGTGTTATCAGGAACCAGGGTCCTGCCCATCAGATGACCATTACTCACCACCCACCACCCTTAGTCTAGAGCACCCCCAGGCTCCAGGGGGAAGTCATCACTGACCCATCTTGAACCTTCCCCCTTGTCTCCTGCTAGAAGGCATCACCGCCCAGAAGGAGATGTCTCAGGCGCCAGGCTCCTCCTGCTTCAAGCCCGGAAGTTGTCCTGGCATGGCTGCCCACAAGAGCACACAGCCATTGGATGACATCACAGAGGTGATGACCTTGCCAAACTGGTTTGCCAAGCAGTTTCTGGGGAGTCCCACTCCCGGGGCTGCTGGCTGTGACCTTGGGGGCCCTCTAATTCTGCCCACAGAGGAAAAGAGTCACAGGGTCTGGATCAGGAACTGGTTCTTCTCCTCCCAGTACCCTGAACTCTGCCTTCACCCATCTGGCTCTCCCAGGAAGAGATCTTTCCTCACAGCAATACTTCCAGCCCCTGGCTGGCGTGGTCCTCTCCCACGTCACCGCCCCCTCGGCCCACCCTCCTCCAAGTCCCTCTAGCTCCCCCATCCCGCCATGGTCCAGCAGCCCCTGAGTTCCTCGCATGACCCCAAGACCCTAACTTCATGACTACAGTGGGCACAGCTCCAAAAAAATGGGGGCGTTGGATGAGGTAGGGGGTGTCTCAGTATAGAATTTTTGGAATTTTGTTGTCCTTGCTGGGGAGTGAGGGGGCACTTAGAGAGCTCCATACACAATGCCTTCCATAGCACAGGTAAGAAAACAAAGGTTGCCAGAGCTAGTGGTCTTCCCTGGGGTGGGCAGGGGGCCCAGGGCTACCCCATCACCCTTCTCACTTCTGAATACTGGGACCTGGACTCGCAGGGACATGCAGGGAGGATGGGCAGGTAATTCAGGGACAAAGCCACCAGTTTGGTCAAATATGTATTCTGGGACTTGGGTTTCAAAGTAAACCATTAGCCTTGCTCCCAGATAGCTACTCCGGGCCCTCTCCACCCTGCCAATCCAGAGATGGTTCTGGAAGAATCTAGACCCTTCCTAGTCCAGTTCTTATGAGCCAAACTATCTCCCACAAGATACATTCACTCCACTCTTCTTCACAGATGGAACCACTCTCATTTCTTGCTCTACTCATACCTCCAGCTCCTTCTTTCCCCAATCACAAGCCTTCCAGCTTTTTCTCACACTCTTGTGCCACAAGGGGCTCTTCCATCCGTCCTCCTCTTCTCTGGGGTGGGGTGTGTGGGGGGGGTCATTTTCTTAGCATTCACCTTCAAGGAGCAGTTGATCCAACACCTGCCCAGAGGAGCCTTCCTCTGTCTCAAGCAGCCGGGGGGAGGACAGAGGCACCCGCCAGCGGGATGCTCAGCCCCGGCGGGGTGCCCTAGCCTTACAGAGTTTCAATCTACCTTGCCTACTCATCAACGGGCAACAGGCCGGCAATGCAGCAGGCGCACTTAGTCAACACTCACCCAGCACTCATCTCTGTGGCTGTAAAAGTCCCCCCAGCAGGGTTCTGAGTTGCCCTTTGATTCCCATCAATCACCTCCCCTAAGGAGGAAGAGAAAAAGGCAGACAGTTAAGCCCAGAGCCTTGTCCGAGGGAAGAGTCAGGGGGATATGCTACAGAGGTGTGTCAGCACGGAGCAGAGCATTCATTGGTAGCTGTAGCTGTCACTCAGGCAGGCTCTGAGAATCCCAGAAGGCCTCCCTGCCTTCCTGCTCAAAGGGGGCGTGCCCAAAAAAAGCCCGCGGGAAATGGGGAGCCGGACATACTGGGGCACTACTGGAGGGCATTCATGCGCCCACAGAACAAGGTTGTACTGGGGCCAAGTAGAGGGGAATCATATCCTCCAAACTGCTTGCTTCCTCCCATGTGACTTTGGCAACCTGCTGGGTTTTTCCTGGTGCAAACATGGGAAATGGGCATGAAAAGAGATGATGTAAGGGAAAAAGTCTCAGAGGAGACCCCAGGTTTCTCCCTAGGTTGGGGGGGGGGAGGTGAAGGGTACACAGAGAGTCTGGCCAACAGGGGTTTTGGGGCAGGGGTGAAGGGCAACGAGCTCACAGCACCTACCCATAATCCCACATGACAGTGGCCAAAATGGGAATGACGAGCCAACTAGTTAATAAGGATGCTATGGGACTATGGAGAGGGCTTCAACAAGATCTTGGAAAATGAAACTTAAAAATAAATGCCTTGGGGGCCCCATGCGGTGGCCTAGCAGCTAAAGCCCTCACCTTGAACAAGTCCGGGATCCCATACGGTCACCAGTTCTAATCCCAACAGCTCCACTTCCCATCCAGCTCCCTGCTTGTGGCCTGGGAAAACAGTTGAGAATGGCCCAAGGCCTTGGGACCTTGTACCCACGTGGGAGATCCAGAAGAGCTCCTGGCTTTGAATCAACACAGCTCTGGCCATTGTGGTCACTTGTGGAGTGAATCGTCAGACGGCAGATCTTCCACTCTGTCTCTCCTCCTCTATATATATCTGACTCTCCAATAAAAATAAATAAATCTTTTTTAAAAAATAAGTGCATTGGGATCCACACATTTTTTTAAATTCATAGGCAAGGTTTTTTTTTTTTTTTAATCATACACATATTCCACGACGTATTTATTTATAGGAAAGGCAGAGTTAGAGAGAGGTCTTTCATGTGCTGGTTTACTCTCCAGATGGCCACAACAGCCAGAACTCGGCTATTCCGAAGCTACGAGCTTCTTTCCAGGTCTCCCACAGGGTCCAAGGACTTGGGTCATACTCTGCTGCTTTCCCAGCAGGGAAAGGAACAGCCAGGGTTCTAACTGGTAGGAACTCCAGCACTGTACCTGCAGCGCTGGCCCCGGATTTCAAGGGTCTTTTTTATTTATTATTATTTTTTAAAAGATTTATATATTTTTATTGGAAAGGCAGGTTTTACAAAGAGAAGGAGAGACAGAAACCAGAGACCTCCGTCTGCTGGTTCACTCCCAAAGTGACCACAACGGCCAGAGCTCAGCCGATCCGGAGCTTCTTCAGGGTCTCTCATGTGTGGTGCAGGGTCCCAAGGCTTTGGGCCATCCTTGACTGCTTTCCCAGGCCACAAGCAGGGAGCTGGATGCGAAGCGGGGCTGCCGGGATTAGAACCTGTGCCCCTATGGGATCCCAACGCGTGCAAGGCAAGGACTTTAGCAGCTTGACTACCGTGCTGGGCGCTCAGGGGTCTTTTTTATAGCAAAATAAACTTCTAATTCCAGTTCCCACAAACCTTTTTGTTCCAGGACCACCAGTATGGGAGATGGAGGCGGGCGGAGGGTGGCTTTCCCCAAGGGGTCCCCTAGTGGACTCTTAATTTAGTCTGAGGGCACATGGACCGTCTTGAGGTCTCCGTGTCCACCCCTCGCGCCGCTCCACCTGAGACTGTCCGGCGCCGACGCAGGTGCCGCGGCTCACTCAGCTCCGACCTCTGAGGTGACTCAGCCCAGGTACCCCGAAAGCAGCCTGGAGGCGGCGACTGACGGGAGGAGGTGGAGCCGAGGGAGGGGACGTGGTCTGAGGAACAAAGAGGAGGGCGGGGAGGGGCCGTCCCGAGGCTCCGGGTCTCGTGCGACCCCAGGCCACTTACCTCGGCGCGGGGCGCCCCCTCGGACTTTACCTCAGGGTCCGCGTCCACACGACCCTCCCCAGACCGCCGCAGCGCCCCCGACAGACTCCCAAGCCCCTACACGGTCCCTGGGTCCTAGGAGGGGCGGGCCCTTCCCCCTCTTGCGTGGGAGTGGTCAGGCCCTTCCCCCTCTTGCGTGGGAGTGGCCATTAAATTGAATTTCCCCAATGAGGACCGAGGATGGGCGGGACTCGGGCGAGAATTGGCGGCGGCTGCGGAGCGGGGCGGAGCTCACGGGCCTGGCTGGCGAGACTGGCCGGGCAGTCCTCGCACAGCGCGAGGGGACGGTTGCTGAGCGGGGCCGGGCTCCGGGTCGTGGCGCCCGCCTCCCGCCCGACCGGGTCTCATTAACCCGCATCTGGCTTGTCCGGAGGGAACTCACCCGAAGCCGCGCGGGACGGGCGGGACGGACGGAGAGGTGAGTGTGCGGACCCCGGGGCGCGGGTCCCGTGGGTAGAACCCCGATATCTCTATCCCGGGTTCTAGAACGCTTACCGCTGGAAGCTCCCGCCCTTGTCGGCAGCTCATAGCCGAGAAGGGCCGTGTGCGAGAACGCCTACCGGCCTCCTCGGAAGCCGCCGGTGTAGGGGGTGATGGAGGACAAATATCCCAAGAGGAGACTCCTGAGACCACCCGTAACCTCCAGCGACGTCAGACCCAGTTGACAGGGAGCCTTGGGGCTGGAGGGGGGTGTGGTGGAATCTCCGAGAAGAGAATGGGCACACAGATGCCCTGCTTCCCAGGAGAGACCCTAGCTCAGAGAGAACAGGATGGGGGTGCCCACTGAGTGACACTCCTGGAGAGAAGGGGGCCATTCCAGGCAGGTTAGGTAGGAATGGGAACAAGGACCCAAACCACACGGGGTCATAGGGGAGGTGGGCACCTGACTGATCCTACCAGGATGGGACAAGCAAGTAATGACTTGACCTGGCTAGGTCAGACAAACCCCAATTATGTGGCTAGGAACCCACCTCCGACTCCAGGGATCCATTCTCTGGATGGGGTAACCCTCCAGCCAGGTGACTGTAAGGGGTAAGGGATGCCTGAGGAATGAATCAACGGGATAGGAGGAAGACAGAAGAGGGGAAACCCTGGAGCTACCTCAGTCACCGCACATCCAGGAGACGCTTAGCATGTGCCCTCAACGGCCAGCGGAGAGAGGAAGAAGGAAGGAAGGAGACAGCAGTGCTGGGCGGCTCGGTCAACAGTTAGGGCTCCAGTTGGAGGGGAGCGAGGGAAGTGTCCCAGGCTCTCCTGGAACTTGGGAGGTGAGGACAGCTTCAGAAATTGGAGGTAACCAAGATTTAGGCTTTAAGGCAGTTCCCGCCCTCTGAGTCTCTGGGAGCACCACCTGGGAACAAATCCCTGATCCTCTCAGTTGGCTTCAAGTCCAGGGTCGACTTCCACTGCGCCTTCCGGCTATGGAGTCACTGAATGGCTGTTGGGATGACAGGAGACCCTGGGTGTCTGGGACACCTGGCTTCTTGGGGTCAGGACAGTTGGTATCCGGGAGCAGGCAAGGAAGGGAAGTTTGGGGGGGGGGGCAGGTGGGGGAGGAAGGAAACAAGGGCTGACTCTAAGACCTGGAAGATGCCATGTCCCTCCAATAGCTGAGTGGTAAAAGTGGCAGTAAGGACTTTGGTAGGAGCTCAGCTGGCAGCCAGAGGCTTTTCGCTTTGCGCAGTGGGTGGGGGCAGGGCAGGCCCTGGGATGGATGGGTGGGTGGGGCAGGAAACTCTGGAGACTGGTGTGCACCCCCTGGTGGTGAGCACGGTGGGTGGCCCTGGCTGGACCCCTCCCTGGAGGTTGTCAATCCAGGTCCCAGCCCTTGAACAGGATTGAAGGGCTAGACCACATAGCAAACTCCAGCTGGCAAGCTAGGCATCAGGAACTCAATTCGGTTTTGCATCCAACCATCCCGAGCTAGTGGCCACCTCCCAGCCAGGCTAGGAGAGCAAATTTGAGACAACGATACATGCTGATGGGTCAGAGAAGGAAGTCCGGGTGCCTGGCTTCATGCCTGTCTCCTGCAGGGTCCCGTCCCCCGGAGCTGGGATCAGGTGCCACAGGATCTTCTCAGGAGGAGACGGACAGAGCAAAGGGGCCAGTGAGATGGCGGACGAAGCCTTAGCCGGATTGGATGAGGGAGCCCTCCGGAAGCTGGTAAGCACCCCCGTTGGCAGGTTTGCGGGTAAGGGCTATCCCAATACAGGGGCCGGCCCATCCAGGCTAACTCTGCACTGGCAGAGGGAACCGGGAACAGGGCCAGGCCTGTTCCGTGTGGCCGATGCCCAGGCCCCCATGGCATGTGCTGTCCAGGTCAGGTGCCGATGCCCAGTGGCTCCCCCCATCCCCCTGACACTGGCACCACCTGTTTAAACAGTAACTGCGGTGGGGATACGCCCATGTGCAGCCACAGGTGTGGGGTGGCTGGCTCTGTTTCTCCCAAGCAGCAGATTGGGCAGCGCGCTCAGGCCTGGCAGCTGGCCAGGCGGTAATGGTGGCGGGATGATTAATCACGCCAGTGGGTGACAAAGGTAGGCTGGACACACCAGCTCGTGCTCCACGGCTCTGAGAGCTGTGAAACCACAACCCAGAGAGGTGGGATCAGCTGCCCCAGGGCTCTATGGAGAACCAAGTGGGGAGGGCCAGTGCAGGGAGGGGCTGGAGGGGGAACCAAGAATCCTGACAAGGCCAGGCTGGGAGTAGGCACGAGAGACAGACTTCATAAGGTCCTTGTGGGTTCTGTGATTCGGAGTCATGTCTGTTGTCTCACCCTGGGTGTTGGTGTCTTTATCATCTGTGACATAGGGATACGGGGGATGCAAAAACAGTCACCAGGTCCTGGAGTTGGTGGGTAGGCCCTGAACTCGATCCTTTCCCATCAGCTTCTTCCACACTCATGACACCCACACACACATCCATGCATACAGAGAGAGGTACCCTGCTGACTTGGGGGAAGAGCTCCAGGCTGCCTCCCAGCCCCTGATCCTTGCTCCTTGGAAAGGCAGAAAGGAGGGATTGAATTAAAGATTTACTTTTCCTTAGCAGAGGGCAAGTAACCTCCCTCTCCGCCCTGCACCCTATTTCCAGTCCAGCCTAACCACTTGCAAAGGGCTCGCTGCAAGTTAGAAACGCGGGAGAGAGCCACAACCCTCAAAGCCAGGCTGGCTGTCCCTCCGCGATGTGTATAAGGGCTGTCCACACTTAGGCTCGGGGTTCTCCAGCCTCTGCTTCCTTCCCTCTCATGCCCGTCTGGGCACCGAGGTGGGGATTTCAGCGAAGAAGTTGCAGAGGTGGCTACAAGTGTTCCCCCCCCCCCCCCGCACCCCAACTCTCCAGTATCTCTAACTCTTCCCTGGGAAAGGACGCACGCGAGAGCACGCCTCCCCTCTGCCTCGGGACTGCGGGGCCACCCCAGGCGCTTCCCACCCTGCGGTCCTTCCCACCCCGCGGCCCCGCAGCTCCCACCGCCCGCAGCCCGCCGTGACTGCGCCTGAGCGCAGCTGAGGGTCCCGCCCCGCCGGCCTCGTGGCAGGAACGGGGAACGTCGCAAACCGGGCTCCTCCCCGCGGGGACGGGCCTTATAAGGCAAAGCTGGACCCGCGGCGGCCGTCCTGCATCCCAGCGTCGGGCTGGTTCTCGGGGACCCCCGGCCACGGCCCCCGAGGGCATCGGGGGACGTGCGCGCCCCGGCAAGGCCTCTGCGCCAGGTGCAAACAGGCCCCCTCCGCCTGGGTCCGGGTGCAAAATCGGGCTCCGACCCTTGCTGGCCGGAGAAAGAAGCTGCAGCCCTGTGGACCGCGGCTTCCTCTCGGCACACCGAGCAGGCGGAGGCGGGGTGTGTGTGTGTGTGTGTGTGTGTGTGTCGGGGGTGCTTCCTGTCGCCTCCCTCCTCGGCGCCTAGAGCCGGGCCGACCGGGTGCGGGCGGTTCCGGAGCCTGCGGACCTTCAGTGCCCCCTAGCGAGTCTTCGTTGCACTGCCGGGGGCTCCCCCAGAGGAGATTTGGGGATGGGGACTTGGAAACTGGGACCTAGGGACCCTCTGATGTGCTGCTGATGGGGCAGAAACGCCCTGAGACCCAGCCCCCTAGGGATGAGGAAGCACCCTCTTTCCTCCCGGGAGAGTTTCCCTGGGCCGTTTCGGAAACGGGCCCCATCCCCTTCCCCTTCCACCCTGGTGGACAATGGCCCTTTGTACTTCCTTCCCTCCCTCCACAGCATTCCCCTCCACCTACACACACACACACACACACGCACACGCACACACACGTGCGCACACGCACATACAGATTGGCAGCGCCTGAGCGAGTGGGGAACAGCAGGACACAGGGAGTGCCCAAAAGGGGAGGGTCTTGGCAGGGGAGGGATGAGTGGAATGACGTGGGTGGTGTCCCCAGCCCGCTTTCTGACCGCGCCCCCCAACTTTGGGAGGGGGGCAGACATCAGAGGGAGGCTCCCATTTTCTAAACAGGGTGGTCAGGAGCCCAGAGCATTGGCATTGAGGACCCTCAGGGCCTCTGCCCTCTGCATGGGCTGGACCAGCCGTCCCACACACCCATACACACAGAACCCAGTGCAGATCTGTCTTCAGTCTAGGGCGCGGTTCTTAGAGAGACCCGGTTCAAATTCTAACTCAAGGAGTTTGGGGCAGGAGCAACTGCATCCTCCCGGGTCAGATGGGCCCTGATCCAGGTCTGACACACACAGTCTCCATACACCTGACCGATGCCCTCTCCTGGGTTAGCAGCAAGCAGGAAATAGGGGCTTGTTTGGGGGCAGGGGTAAACTGATGATGTCAGTGCAGGATGATGTCACTGCAGGACCCCCCCCCCAAAGTCCCTACTGCTGTCCCTATTCACTGCCCTGAAGCAGACGCCATTGTCACACCTGCCTTGAGAAAACCAAGACCCAGACAGGCTCAGGTTCAGCCACCAGCTGGGGGTTCTAGCCTGAGCTGTAGGGGTGGGAGGGTCCTCCCCTAGGTCCTGAGGAATGTGGAGCTTGGGAGAGGACTCTGTTCTCCCCACCCAGGTCTAACCCCCTCCTCTCACCGCCACGCAAATCTCCCACGCCAGGACAGGGTGGGGTCCAGTTTCTGTGAAAGCTCTGTCTCTGACTCCCCCCACCCCTGCCACCTGGCTGTCCTGCTAAGCAGGAAGGAATGTTGGGGGGGAGGGGAGGCCAACCAGAAAGGAATAGAAGGTTCCTCAGCCCTTCCACCTGGCTGCTTTTGGAGGGAGTAACCCAACCTTTAATGGTAGCCACCCCACACTACAGGGTTATGTCTGCCCCCAACCTCAGGGTCCCTGGGCCCATCCATCTTCTAGAGGACAGAGGCTCCAGGAGGGGTGGGGAGCAGGGCTGTATCAGGGAGAGGTGTGCACAGCACCAGGATGGGCTGACTCATCCCAGGGAAAGTGGTACCCGGAGCTGTGTGTGGTTGGACCAACAGCCACTGGGAACCTCCCTGCTGGGGACACCCTCTCTAGTACTTTGGATAAGCCCCTGGTACCAGTTATCCAAGGGATTGGTCTCCCAGTCTGAGCCCTGGCTCCTTTCCTGGTGCCCAGAGAGGAAGACAATAGCTCCAGCCAAACAGGGAGCTAGAATTCCTAGGCTCCTGCCTCAGTTTCCCCACATGTGGCTTCCTGGGAATTAAGGACAGGCTGTGAGTCCATTTGCTGGCTGCCTGCGGAAAGCAAGTGCTCTGTGAACTCCCATGCACAGTGGACACCGCAGAAACCCTGCTACATTGAGTTGTATCCCCCCTCCCACACCTCGGAGACCCCAGAGTAGGCGAGCAGGCACGTGAAGGGCTTGTGGGGGCAGAAGGGAATTGAGACAGGCCATTCATTGTGCCCCAGGGAGAGCCGTGGGTGGCCGGTGCCAGCCCTCTGCCCCTGGCAGCCAAAAATGACCTGCCCCTCGCCCCCGCCTGCCCACCGCCCTTCAGCTGGAGGTCACAGCAGATCTGGCCGAGCGGCGGCGGATTCGATCAGCTATCCGAGAGCTGCAGCGGCAGGAGCTGGAGCGCGAGGAGGAAGCCCTGGCATCCAAGCGTTTCCGGGCTGAGCGGCAGGACAACAAGGAGAACTGGTTGCAGTGAGTGGTGGAGAGTTGGGCGTGCAGAGGAGGGAAGGGGGAACACTCAGCAGGTGTGGGTACCTGTGCTGGCTGGAAGAGCAGATACGCACTCTGGGAGGCAGAGCAGATGATGGCTCAAGTCCTTGAGTCCCTTCCTCCTGCATGAGACACCCAGCCCGAATTCCTGGCTCTTCACCATTCACAGCCCTGTGGAGAGTGAACCAGCAGATTGCCCTCTCTATTTCTGTGTCAAATTAAATGGGAAAAAAAAAGTATTTTTTTAAGAGCTCATGGAAACATGGACTTCAAATTTACTTTGGTGCAAAAAAAAAAAAAATCTCTGCATAGTTTTTTTATTTTTCCATGAGAGATATCTTTCTCTGAATTTTTTAAAGAACCTAAGATCTGTGGATTTCCAAAATTTTGGCACCTAAACTTCTCTTTCAATTCCATTTCCCACAAATCTGAAAAATTACCCTCCTGTGCGCATACTTTTGGAGTATTTCTGGGTAAAGACTTTGGGCCGATCATAATTACCCTGGCCATGCCAGTGCAGGCGGCATCCGTGCCCACGTTCATTGGCATATGCGCACTGCTCTGCGCCCTGCCCCCCACCCCGGCTGTGGGGCCTGGGTACTGCATCTTGGCCCTTACCCTGAGCCCACATCTCCTGCGCCCTGGTCCCAGGGTGGGGGTCATAGTCGTGATGTCTCTGCAGCTCTCAACAGCGGGAAGCTGAGCAGCGGGCTACCCTGGCACGGCTGGCAGGACAGCTGGAGTCCATGAATGACGTGGAGGAGCTGACCACGCTGGTGAGGCTGCGGGCAGGGGCAGCAGCCGGGGAGGGAGGGATGTGTGTGAGAGTAGGGGAGAGGTCTGGGATGCCACAGCCCCACATCTCACCTTGTCTCCCCCGACAGCTGCGCAGTGCTGCCGAATACGAAGAACGCAAGCTGATCCGAGCCGCCATCCGCCGCGTCCGGGCTCAGGAGATAGAGGGTGTGTGTGGCCTGGCCTTTCCCCTTTGCCCACCCCCTGCTACCTCCTGGAGGCCACTCACCTGCTATTTTCTCCTTGACTTCCAGCTGCCACCGTGGCTGGGAGGTTGTGCAGCGGGCGTCTCAACAAGGGCGCACGAGAAGACAGTGAGGGCCGGGCGGCACGCAGGCTGGAGCGGCGGGAGGTAGGGAGCATGGTTGGGCCGCTGGACCAGGTTCTCTCTTGGATACCACCAGCACAGAGCATGTCTGTGGTGTCCTTGCCAAGCTGGCCTCTGACTGGTCCCTTTAGCCATGTAGATACCTCCCACGTGCCTTCCTGTTCCCATCCCCCAGGAGCTCCCACCTTAACCCCTTGCCCCTCACCCTCCAGACACCACCCTCTCCATCCTTACCTTGACTTACGAAGGCCTGTACATCAGGGCCCAAGCTGCTTCGTGGGGCACCCTTCCCTGGGTCCTCTCTGAGGAGATCGGGAGTGCTGTCAGGCCATGCAGGTTCCCTACGTGGCCAGCAGAGGCCGCTGCCTCCCTAGTCTTAGCAGGCCCTCACCCTTGACTCCTTGACTAATGGGGCTGAAGCAGGACATCCAGGGATCCGTTAAATCCCTGGGAAAGGTCTCCTGCTACCTCCCTCACCACAACCCCCAGCACTGGGTCCCATGTAAACCACCTTGGACTGGGGAGCAGCTTAGAGGCTGTCCCTAGGGTGCTGGTGCCCGTGCAGGTGTGTCCCCAGGAAGCCGTGCCCAGCCCTTGTGTTTTGCATGCCCTGCCCTGGGCACCTGCCTGCCTGCTCCACAAAAGGTAAGGGCAGCCTTGGCAGTCTGGGCAGACTTGATCAGATCCTTCATGGGTCCCCCGCAGGTGCCAGAGCAAGAGGAACAGCAGACAGCAGAGGTCCTCGAGCCAACCCCAACCCCAGAGGTCAGCAACCAGGATGTGACCACAGTAACACTCCTGCTGAGGGCCCCTGGTGGGGGCAGCCCCAGCTCACCTGCCTCACCGGATAGCTCCCCCACCCCTGTCTCTCCCGAGCCTCCACCAGAGCCTGCTGGAGCCCAGGGTTCCCCTGCTGAGGCTCCCAGCAGCCCCAAGCCACCTGCCAGTCCCCCCAGGACCACCGCCAGCCCTGAACCCCGGAAGTCACCAGTCCCTCCCGGCACAGAGAGACAGGTGGTCAACCAGGTGAGTCTGGCTGAGGGGCAGGGATGCCCCATAAATGAGGTCCTGGGTGTAGGTGTCAGGCTCCAATCATGCTGTGTCTTTCCCTCCTCTTTCCTGCAGCTCCTGCCAGGCCTTGCAGAACCCCCTGCAGCCCAGGACTCCCCCAGAGGCCCCTCCAACACCAAGAGAGCAGGTGAGGGTCCCAGCAGAGACAGCACAGGTGCCTGCCCCCAGCCTCCCCTCCCCTGCCTGCACAGTGGGCTCTTATACTTGGCAGGTCCAGCCTGCCAGGGGCAGTCCCTAATGCCCCCCCCCACACACACCCACCCCCCATATACACACATACACACTGCCTCTGGGGTGTCCCCGCCCCTGACCAAGCCTACCCCCCGCTGCCACTGTGGCCAGAGGCCTCCCCGCAGCCTTTCAAGGCAACAGGCCGCAGACACATTCTTCTGCCCAATAAGGGAGTGCATCCATCTCCATGCTGGAGCTGTGGGCAGCACTGGCCAGGGTTGGGGGGGTTGGGGAGAGTTGGCCCCCATCCTCAATCGGCAGGAAGCATCCTGCACCCCTTCTCTAGTTCAAACCTAGCCCTCGCCCCCGGGAGTGTCCAAGTCATGTTGGGGTCAGTGCCGGAGAGGTAGGTGGGGCTGCGAGCACAGATGCAGCCGAATAAAAGGCCAGAACCATGGGAGCTACAGAAGTAGGAAGGTCTCCCTCTCCCACCCATACCCACTCTCCTTCTTCTCTTCCCTCCCCTGCACTAGACCTGGCTGCACCCCGACCCTGCCAACGCTCCCTGTCCGTACTCAGCCCCCGCCAGCCAACCCAGAACCGAGGTAACCGCCTGTCCTCACCCGCCCCTCCCCCATCACCCTCCAGGCTTGGGGCAGTCCTTGTCCCACCTACCCAGCCACTGACAGTGCTCCTGTCCCTTCCAGAGCCCACCCTCCTCACCCCCGGAACTTCTCCGTTCCAGCGGGCTGGCTCAGTGCGGGACCGCGTCCGCAAGTTCACCTCCGATTCTCCCACAGCTGCCAGACTCCAGGACGGCCCACCCCGGGCTGCCCTTGGGCCCCAGACCCCTGCAAAACTCCTGGGCCCCTCCCTCATCAGCACCACCCCTGCCTCCTCCTCCAACCGCTCCTCCTCCTCCTCCTCTTCCACCTCCCGATTCAGCAAGGAGCAAGGAGGAATAGCCCGGCCCCTGGCCCAGCTTCAAAGCTGCCCCCGAGAGGAGGGCCCGCAGGGGCGGGGCTTGGCCGCCAGGTCCCTTGAAAACAGAGCAGGGGGGCCCGTGGCCTCCCCAGAAGAGCCCAGTGCCCCGCTGCCTGTGGCTGTCGGCACCACTGAGCCGGGGGGCAGCATGAAGACCACGTTTACCATCGAGATCAAGGATGGCCGTGGCCAGGCTTCCACGGGCCGGGTCCTGCTGCCCACGGGCAACCAGAGGGCAGGTAGGCCTTCCCCTGTTGCTTTTCACTGATCGCAACCATCCAGGTGGGCATGTAGGACAAGGTACTGCAAGGCTGTCTCTCCCAAGGATGTGTTGGGAGCAGAAGGCAGGAAGAGGTGCCCTTGATTAACCGACCTTGCCTGGCACCACTCTGGCCCTGCCCGATCCTCACAGCAGTTCTTCTGCCCACCCAGAACTGACACTGGGGCTGCGGGCGCCCCCCACCCTGCTCAGCACCAGCAGTGGAGGCAAGAACACCATCACCCACATCAGCGGCCCTGCGGCCACCCTGACCCGGCTGGGCAGTGTCACTCATGTCACCAGCCTCAGCCATGCCTCCCCTGGTAACCGAGGAGGCTGCAGCATCAAGGTGAGAGCCCCTGTCCCACGCTACAACCCTCCATCCTTGTGCCCCCCAACATCAGCCTCACCATCTGACAATCTCACAGAGACCACTTAGCAGCTCAGGGTGTGGGGGAAGGGACCAGGAGTTTTTCTGCCGTACCTGCAGAGAAATGGAGGCTCAGAGAGGAGAGGAAGGGGGCTGCCCCTGGCCCACAGCTGGGGGGTGGGGTGGGCTCTAATGTGTCAGCCAACCAGGCATGCCAGAACCTTGACCTTCCTGTGAGAAGCTGATCCTATTTGATGCATCCCGAATGAGCAGATGGGGAAAACTGAGGTGCCCAGGGGGGTGGTAGGCATTTGGCCCCAGGCGGGTTTGGCCCCAGAACACCAGCCCCGAGGTATATCAGAGGTAATCCCCTCAATCCCTGATCAGCCCCCATCAGAGGATTGTGGATTAGCAGTATAGCATCTGCGTCAACCTCCGAATGGGGGGCAGGGGCTGGGCCACAGCTCTGATGAGGTGGGGGTGCCGATCAGAAGAGGCTGCAGGCTAGCAGGTGCCAGGCGGGGAATTGAATACCTTGCATCCTTCCATTATTCATTCCCAAGCCTGGGATCGACTGGCTGGGAGCTTGGCTAGGGAGAGAGAAGCCCCCTATTGGCTGGCCTGTCCCTGGCTGCTCCGATAATGATGTCTGTGCGGTGCTCCTGGGGAATGGAGGGAACTGTGGCAGAGGTGAGATGGCTGGAGCCAACTTTGGGCCTTCTCAGGGTGTCTAGCAAAAGGTGGTGTTGGGGGTTCAGAAAGCACCATAGCTGGCACAGAGTAGGGCCCTGCTGTTCTCTGCTGGGTGGGTGTGGGGCTCAGGAAGGGTATGGGGTGAGAGAGCAGCAGAGACCCTAGGGGTGGTAAGTGAGACCTGGGTCTGACACTACCCCTTGGCTTTAAACAAGGTGAGTTGCCTGTACTGCACTCACTCCGAGTCTCTGCTTAGATCCGAGCCCCTGGGGAGTGGTGGTGATGGGGGAATGGCAGGCTAGAGCACGTTTCTCTTGGGACCAAGATGCTGGTTACGGCAGCATCACAGCCACTGGCTCCGAGCCGCCAAGTCCCCTATCTGTGGATAGCATGAAGCCAGGGGGAGCCTGGCACACTGCATCCTCACAGCTAGTCTCCTTGGGGGAGCCCAGACTAGGCTCGTTCCCTGCTCCCTGCCTCAGCCTGCCTGCCTGTGGGGCGTGGAATCCTGCAGAACCCAAGCAGCTTTGCTCTGCAGCAGGTCTGTGATCCATGCAGGGCCAGGGCCAGGCTTTTGGCGATCCGCCTGCCTCCTGGACGGGCCACCCCTCCCCACTGCTGCTGCTCCCTCCACAGAGGAGCCCAGAATAGATTTCTATTTGGGCTGCAGTTCCAGCTGGCTGGGTGGTGGGCTGGGCGGCCTGCAGGGGCGGGGCGGGGCAGGCCTGCTGCCCTTGCCTTCGCCCTCGGACCAGCTGCAGAGGAGGCTACTGTCACTGCCAGCTAGAGGCACAGTAGCCCCTGCCACTTTCCCGCCCCAGTTAGAACCCCCTACTAGCACCATGCCAGGGGTCCCAGGGCCTGGGCCTGAGCTGGCCACAGCCCTGGAAGAGCGGTTGAGCCGGGCGTTGGAGGAGCTGCAGGCAGTGGCCGAGGCTGGGCGGGCAGCAGTGACCCAGGCCGCTCAGGTGGCTGTGACCACCGTGGAGCCAGTGGCCCGGGCTGCCGAAGAGCTGCGGGCAGAGACGGCGGCGCTGAGCCGGCGGCTGGACGCGCTGGGCAGGCAGGTGGAGGTGCTGAGCCTGCACCTGGGGGTCCCGCTGGTGGCTGATCTGGAACCGGACCTGGAGCCCAGCGAGCTGTTCCTGGCTGCAGCCGACCCGGAGGCCCTCTTCGAGGCGGCTGAGGATGCCGGGACCCCCGTGGCCCACCCACCTGCCTTCAGCACCCGCCGCCGCTCCTCCAGCGGCCCCTCCCGCAGCAGCAGCCTCGTAAGTCACTCGGAGAGCCAGTGGAAGAGTGTGGGGGGGGCGGTGTTTGGGGGTTTTCTTTTTTGCCTTTGCTGTGTGACCTTAGATGTTCCGTTACCTTCTCTGGGCCTCAGTTTAGCCTCTTTGTACACAGTACTGCAGCACTAATGCTCCAAGGCTGGGATGAGAGAGTACCAGGTCCCAGCCCCAAGGCACGCGTGGCAGCTGTCCCTGGCAGCCCCTGGCGTGACCCAGCCCCCAGCCACACCTCCTCACCCCTGTCCCACCCCAGCCCCGGAAGTGCCTCCTAAGACAGCTGCAGCTTCGACTCTAGCTTACCCTCCGGGCCAACACGGAGGCCCTGCTGGGAGGGGAGGGGCTGTGCTAGCTGTCTTGAGCTCTAGTCTGCGATGATGAGGGGATTTTGTGGGGTGGATGCTAGCTTCGGGCTAGAGCCCCAACCCCATCCTCAGGCTGGTTCCCAGCTGGGCAGAGACTGAGCTTGGGAGAGGTCTTGGCTTAGGGTTGTCCTAGGCAGACACCTAGTCAGGAGCCTACAGGCTCTGGTCCAGCCTGCTTGGCAAGAGAGGGTGGCATGTATCCTTCTGGACCGGGCACTGGTCCAAAGGAACCCAGGTCTAGTGAACTGGCAGGACTGAGTTGCTGGCAAACCTCCCGCCCACCCACCCACCAAAGGTTACATCACGCTTACAGAGGGGAAACTGAGCTGTCATGAGCCTCCATTGGTCCTTCTGTTCCATGGGGATAGCTGGAAACCAGCCCTAGTATGCACGCGGTGCCTCCTGTGGAACGCAGGTCCGACTTCCTGCTCCTGACAATTGTGCTCATGCGATGCTGGGCGCTTGACAACCTGACCGCATGCCAACACCACCATCCTTGGTCCCCCGGGATCTGTCCCACCACCCCTGCTTTAAAGTGTGGGCCCTCTCCTGTCCCATCCCCCAGATGGAGCCAGCGCCAGCTGAGCCTCCCTCGGTGGCCGTGGAAGCAGCCAATGGTGCAGAGCAGACCCGCGTGGATAAAGCAGCGGAGGGGCGGACCCCCCTGAGTGCCAAGGAGCTGGCGGCTATCGAGGATGAAGCTGTCCTGGACAAGATGGTGTGGCCCCAGGGGTGGGGGAGGGCCAGTGGGCGGGGACCAGCAGCCCACTCCCACTCTCCCTCAGCCCCCCGGGGTGGACAAGTGACCGTGGCTCTGTCTGCAGCTGGATCAGACCATGGACTATGAAGAACGGAAGCTCATCCGGGCGGCGCTGCGGGAACTCCGACAGAGAAAAAGAGGTAGAGAGCCATGGGCCCTACCCAGAGCCGGCCCCTGCTGTCCCCCCTGCTGCCTCCCTCACTCCAGGGACCCTGTGTGGACATCCCAGCTCAGTGGCTGCCCCATCCAGCTTTTCCCCTACCCGCAGCTGCTCCCCGGCCTCCTTCCCCTCTTGCATTCAGTGATTCCCTACCTTATTGCTTCTCCCCATGCTGACCACCTGAGGTGACTGCCCCAGCCAGCTTCTCGTTTGCTTCCTGGACCCCCTTCCTCCTTCCCCAGTTACTTCTGCCTGGATCCAGATACTGCTTTTCCCTGCTGCTTCTCTCTCTCTCTCTCCCCGCCCCACCCCAAGGCCAGCAATGGTCTCCCCACCAAGTTGCCCTGCCCTGCACACGGAGATTCTTTTCTCTTAGACTGTAGTTTCATTTGCTTTTCTAGATATTCTTCTTTGCTCCCTCTCTGAATGTAGCTGCCGCCTCCGGCACGCCGCTGATGGCCACACCTCTTCCTGTCCCTACCCACCCACTTCTGCTTTACTTAATCCTGCTCCCAGCTTCTCTCCCAACCACTTTCTCTGGATCAAATTCCCTCCACTTGCTTCTGCCCTGGATCTAGATTTTTTCCTTTCTTTTGCCCAAGGCCCACTGGATGGCCCACCTGACCCAGCTTCTCCCCTACACATAGCTACTCCTGCCTTAGTCCTAGATACTCCCTCATGACCCAGCTGCCCATTCCAATAGATGCTGCCTTCTTAGATCCCAATTAGCCCCATCATGTCAGCCATTCATGTTCCCAAGTTTTTGCCCAAGACCCTCACGTCCTTGCCATGCCTCGCCAAGTTCTCAGGGTTGGAGTGGGGCAGATCCTCCGGCCCCCTAACAGTTCCTAGAAAAAGGAGGCCTTGTCACTGGATGTCGTTTCTAACAAGCTGTCCCACCCTGTCCTGTGTGCCCGTGTGTCTGTGTGTGTATGCTGTGTGGGGCATTGGGTGGCCCTCCTGGGCATGCACGGGGCATCTCCCTACCACCACCACCCTGGCCCAGACCAGAGGGACAAGGAACGGGAACAGCGGCTGCAGGAGGCCCGGGCCCGGCCAGGGGAAGGCCGAGGCAACACAGCCACTGAGACCACCATGCGGCACAGCCAGCAGGCAGCCGATGGCTCAGCCGTAAGCACCGTGACCAAGACCGAGCGGCTCGTCCACTCCAGTAAGGCATGGGGCATAGGGTGGGGCTGTGTGCTCCCCACCCCAGAGCTCTGTGCCTCTCACACCCTCCTTCCTATCCCCTTCTTTCCCCCACCACCCTGACTCCTGCAGACGACGGCACCCGGACGGCCCGCACCACCACGGTGGAGTCAAGTTTTGTACGGCGCTCGGAGAGTAAGGCTGCCTGGCATGGCCCTGTCTGTGCCTACTCACTCACCTCCTCGGGTCTTCTTCAAGCTCTCTCTCTGGGTGTCTGCAGCTGCACCAGTGTCACTTTCTCTTCTCTCCCTGTGGCTGTCACCATACCACCATCTTCTGATGCCCAGGTGGGACCCTCACCCTATTACCTTTCCCCTCTCACGCAGATGGCAGTGGCAGCACTATGGTGCAAACCAAGACCTTCTCTTCCTCCTCCTCCTCCTCCAAGAAGATGGGCAGGTGAGCACGCAGACAGTTGCAGCCAGATGTCACACCTGTGTCTGTGCCACAGGGGACCCTCACTGCATGCATACCCATTCTGCAGAGGGGTTGACTGAGGGCCAGGGAGGGGTGCGGGGCAACTCAGGCTGCTGTGCTGGCTCCGTGACTTCACCCAATTCTCAGCCAAACCACAGGGAAGTGGATGCACAGGGAGGCTGGAGACTCACCCGCTCAGGGTCTCGTGGCTCTCAGAGGTGGCTGTGACTGCTGGTGGCATTACTGCCACGTCAGTGTCAGCAAACCATGGGTCCAGTCGCACAGCATCTTCACACCCATGAGGGACAGGTTCATGTTACAAAGGATGCCAGGAGTGGCAGAGGGTCGGGGTGAAATCGGGATGCAGGATGGGAAGCAGAGAGTCCTGGGCCCCCGAGCCAGAGGCCTGCCTCTTCTCTCCACGGTCCTCGAGAGCTTAGACAAGTCATTGCCCAGGCGGGCTTCTGTTTGCTCAGTTTTACTGGATAGGATAATGGTCTCTGTCTGCCTCCTCTTACGGAGTTTAAAATAAGACCCAGGCTCAACAGACAGGAGCTGTCATTATTATTATTCGCCTTAGTTGTTATGTTGGTTGTCATTTTCTTGGTGATAATGCATTAAATGAGCTCAGCTGTGACTTAACAATACAAAGAAACAACTCTGGGGGCAGGGGAAGCCAAGTTTGGCTCAGCGTCCTAGCGTTTGAGCCTCCATGTACCCTTGTATAAAATGGGCATAATGAAGACTGCCTCCTTCGATGTCTTGAGTGACTGGGTCATGGAGACCCGGAAGGGTAAGGGAGGAGGGGTCTGGCACACTACGAGGCCCCTTCCCTATTGAGCAGTGGCCCAGGCCAGAGAGCAGCCCCTTCCCCATCACCACCACCAGCCTCACAAATCGCCCCCGTCCTTGCAGCATCTTCGATCGCGAGGACCAAGCCAGCCCGCGGCCTGGCAGCCTTGCAGCGCTGGAGAAACGCCAGGCAGAGAAGAAAAAAGAGCTGATGAAGGCTCAGAGTCTGCCCAAGACCTCGGCATCCCAGGCGCGCAAGGCCATGATTGAGAAGCTGGAGAAGGAGGGCGGCACCGGGTGAGCGGCGCGTGGAGGCGGAGCCAAAGGCGGAGGGAGCGGGGCCAGAGGTGGGGTAGGGTGGGGAGGAGCGCCCTCCGGAGCCCTGGCAAAAACAGGGGTCCCACAGGCTTCGGCTGGGTGGACACCCACTGCTGCGGTCCTGTGACCAGTCCCGTCCCCCGTGCCCCACACAGCAGCCCTGGCACACCCCGTGCAGCCGTGCAGCGCTCCACCAGCTTCGGAGTCCCCAACGCCAACAGCATCAAGCAGATGCTGCTGGACTGGTGCAGAGCCAAAACCCGCGGCTACGAGGTGAGTCCTGAGCCCCAGCCCGGTGCCTCCCTTTCGGCTGAGCTCCTGGCTGGGATTGTGGAAAGCTTGTATCTGGAATGCTCCAGGGGACACGTGGCATTGGGTGGTGGGTACAGCCCCAGGCCAGTTGCTATGTGGGGGTAGGGGAGGAGGAGGAGGTGATGTATATATTTCTAGATCTCGGGCTTGGGTAGTGCTGGGCTTGGATCTCTGCAGTGGAGTTGCAGGCGGCACGTTCCCACTGTGCACCTGCACTGTGCCGCACTGCCCCCACCCCTGCGCCAAGGCCTCCTTCGGAGCCCTGCTGCCCTCCAGGGCCCCTACCAGCCCTTCTCCTGCCTCCTCCGCAGCACGTGGACATCCAGAATTTCTCTTCGAGCTGGAGCGACGGCATGGCCTTCTGTGCCTTGGTGCACAACTTCTTTCCCGAAGCCTTCGACTATGCTCAGCTCAGCCCCCAGAACCGACGCCAGAACTTCGAGGTGGCCTTTTCGTCCGCTGAGTAAGTGCCGTCCACCCCAGGCCTGCTGCCGGCAGGGGAGTGGGATGGTGCTGGTGATGGGGTGGGTGTTGGCTGGGCGCGTGGGCCAGGCACCTCTCGCTGCCCCAAGACCCAACCCTGGAGCTGGCCAGCCGCACTGTCAGTCAGCAGCTGAGAGGCCCCCCTACCCCCCAGTGAGCCCCTGAGTCCTCTTCCGCCCCTACCCACTCGCCGCGGAGTGTGCCAGGTGCCCGCCGGAACCAAGGAGCCGCGGGCCTGCCTACCAGCCGAGGCCCACCAGGTGGCCCTGTCCATATCCCCACCATCTTCCTAGCCCCACCCCCATCTCTCTCTCTCTCTCTCTCTCTCTCTCCTTCTACTCTTCTCCCACCACCATGATCACCACCAGAGCTTCCTGCTCCCACGGGATCCCGGCTGGAGATTCCAAAAGGAGGCTCCTGGCCCGGGCTCCGGGCCCGCCCAGCCTATATAGGCACCACTAGAGGCTTATATAGGACATCCGCAAGCCCTCCACTTTGGAATCGTTGCCCCGTCTGCTCACCTCACCCTCAGCACCCTTCTCCATCTGTCCCTACTGCCTTTCTCTGGTTTTTCTCCCCGACTTTACCAGCTCTCTTCCTCCTCCTCTTCCTCCTTCCCTTCCTCCCCCACCTCCTCTCACGCCTCCCTCACCCATCCCTACCCCCTCCTCCCCGGGGCACAGCCCTTCCCTCCAACCTTGGCGCCAACGCCATGGCCGCCCCCACCCCGCGACCCCGCTTGCCCCAAGAGTTCTCTGCACCTGCGACTGGTTTGGCCCCCACCCCTGTCTGCATTGCACACCATTAGTGATGGGTAGTGAGCGGCACGTCTGTGGGAGGGTGGGTGGGGGCGGGGCGGGGCATGCGGGGGACTGGCAGACTGCAGCACTGGAATGTAACTGAACTTATGTCTGTGTGTGTGTGTGTGCGTGTGTGTGTGTGTGTCTCTCTCTCTCCTCCTCCTCCTTTTCCCCACTCTCTTCTCTGCCTTTTTTCCCCTCTTCCCCCTACCCCAACTGGGCCCTGCCCCCCTCTTGCCCCTTCCCTCCCGGTCCCCCCACCCCTCCCCAGGACCCATGCGGACTGCCCGCAGCTCCTGGACACGGAGGACATGGTGCGGCTGCGAGAGCCCGACTGGAAGTGCGTGTACACGTACATCCAGGAGTTCTACCGCTGTCTGGTCCAGAAAGGGCTGGTAAAAACCAAAAAGTCCTAACCCCCTGCTGGGACCCCACGGTGAGGAATGCCCCCGCTTGCCTTCCCCCACCCCCATTTCACCCAGAATCTGCTGAGCAGGGTTTAGACAGCGGACCTGGGCAGCAGTTGGGAGTAGAAGGTGGAGAGCCTTAGAGAAGCCAGTGGTGCCAGGGAGGTGAGGTCTCCCTCCCCCAAACAGGCAGGGATGACCCAGGTGAGCAGGACCACCACGGAGGGACATGTCAGAAGCTGTGGGAACCAGGCTACTTTAAAAAAAAAAAGTGCAAGACCAAATTAAGCACACAAGATGGAGTCTGTGGCCAACCAGGCAGGAAAAGACTGCAGCCTGAATGTTGAGTATACAAGAAGGGGTCCCTGTCAGGAATTTCAGTTCCTCCTTCTGTTTTCCTAATGGGAGGGATAGGTCAGGTGAACATTCTAGAATATTCCTTGGATGAGACCTAGGACAACATGGGCAGTTGCAGCAGTTTAAGAGGTTCAAGGACAGGCTTCCTGACAAACATGATTTTGGACAAAGAGAGGGGGAGGCTGGAGATGCCACCCCAAATTTCCAGCTCAGGTACTGGGAGTTGTTGATGCCCACTGTCCCAAATGGGGAGCTCAGGAGCGGAGTCACTGCAACTGGAAGACATTTCTTCTGGCTGGGGGGAAGATGGAGTGGTCCTGGATCCCCAGGCTGCCTATGGCATCTCCTCTGTGATCCACTCATCTCAGGACCAGGGTGGAGCATGTAGACCCTGAGCTGCTTCTGGACACACAGCAACGTGGGCGGGTTGGGTCAGAGCTGGAGCCAGACCCTAGGACTACACGTGCCCCCATGACTACATGAGCCCCATGGCTCTTTTCCTTGCTTCATCTCTTTCCCCCTCCCTTATCACCAAAGGCATTAAAAATGAAGGTCCAGAGGGGAGCACAGAGAGTCAAGACAGTGGGGTGACAGAACTAGTAAGGAGGGGTATAACGTAGATGTCCCTCGGGGCCTGGAGCCATTGCAAGGCAGATAACACCCGTCATGTATACCCATAGACCCAGAAAAGTGGTGCAGGTGAGAGTAGAATGGGCTGGGTACTCTCTGCAGGTCATATATGGACTTAGGAGCTGCTTGCCTGAGCAGGCTGGCCTGTGGGAAGAGGGGGCCCAAGCTCCCATCTCTCTGGAAAGTGTGACTCAACCCCTGAGTTGCCCGGTGTTTGGCCTGTCACTGGGGCAGCCTGAGCCCTAAGCCCTGAGCCGTGAGCCCCAGTGTAAACAATGGCTTTATAAGGTCTCCAGGGAAGGTACGCAGCTGGGATGGGGAGGGAGTACCAGGTCCGGGGGAGGGGAGGGAGGCCGGGATTCCCGGGAAGATAGCCACAGTGGGAAGAGGCTTCAGAAAGAGATGCCTCTGCTCTGTGGTCAGCCGGGGCAACGGGCCCATTCCAGGGCAGGGGTGACCCCGAGGGGACCCAGCACACAGCAGCAACAGAGCCAGGAACCTCTCACTCATCCTGAGTGGCTCCAGGGTCATAAAGCACAGGATGATACCGCTGTTGTAAAGAGAAACAAACTGACTCACATAGCACAGGCTGCGGGCTTCCCATCCACAGCTGTTCAGGGTTTACAGCCCGAACTACAACAGCTTCACGGAGGCCCAGGCTTCTTCCTTAAAGGCAAGAAGATCCTCCCACCCCCCGGATCTGGGAGCGGTCCTGGCCTCTGGCACAGTGCAAGATGGGATGTGATCTCCAGGGTGGGGGTTGGGGCAGCGGGGGAGGTTGGGACAGGAGCAGTTTCCTGTCAAAGAAAACATTTGGCAATGCTGAGGAGGGGAAGGTGTGCACCCTCTGTGCCTGGCACAGCAGGTGGGAGAGAACCCCAAGAGAGATTTGGTTCCATGGGAGAAGGGGAGATGGAGCCAGCACTGGGGCTGGCAACAGTTTGTTAGCCACTTCCCACTTATCCCAACATGCAGAGGGGGGTTCCAAAGCTGGGCTTTTTAGGCCCCAGCCCTACACCTCCTGAAACAATTGACTATTCTGCTCTTTGACTCAGTTTCCCTATCTGGAAACTGAGCGTGGCACAGGGGAGCTAGTCTGGTACACTGGGACCCTCATCTGGCTCCCACTATGCTCTCTGCCCCAGCCAGGTACTGGTAAGGGTTAAAAGATCCATTCCCCCCCCCCAACACACACACACACACACACACCCCCTGGCTTCCATCCCCAGCAGTAGGGGGTGTTCTCTGGGGCCCGGAACTGGCAGATAGCATCAGGGGAGAAAAGATTTGGCAATGATGAAGCCCCCAGCTGAGCTGCCCTGCCCTGCAGCATGCCCGGGTGTCACTAGGCAGGAGGAGGCCCTCTAGGGAAACCGTGGGTTTGGAGCCAAGGTCTCCGCAAAGGAGAGACAGATTTGGAAGCTGCCCGCCTGTCAGCCTGCCAGGCATAGGGCATAGCTGGCTGCAAGGCCACCCTGCCTAGCCTGGCTCCCTACAAAGCTGCCTCCCCACCACCGGGCGGGCTCGGTGGGGGTGGGGTGAGGACTAGAGTTTCTGGCCTCCCCCCCCCCCCTCCGCCTCCAAGGCTTTTCCCCCATTGACTGAAGAGAGAGGCTGCGACATCTTAAAAAAAAAGATCCCGGGGCAGAGGGGCGCTGCGAGCGACCGCGCGGGCGCTGATAGCCGCGTGCCCGCGCCCCTCCCGCAGGATGCTGGTGGACTGCGTGCCCCTGGTGGAGGTGGAGGACATGATGATCATGGGCAAGAAGCCCGACCCCAAGTGCGTCTTCACCTACGTGCAGTCGCTCTACAACCACCTGCGGCGCCACGAGCTGCGCATGCGCGGCAAGAATGTCTAGACCGGCCCGGTTCGGTTCCCCCACACCCCCTGACGCGTGTTCGGGGCCAGCTGCCGCCCCCACCCTCCTGGCACCGTCCCCGCCCTCCGCCAGCTTCGCCCACCGCTGCCCTGTCTGTCGCGACACCCTCCCCCGCAAACACACGCAGCAGCGTTTTGATAAATTATTGGTTTTCAACGAGCCCGACGTTTCTCTCGACTCTCTTGGGGGGAGGAGTCGGGCAGGGTTTGAACATCGGGCAGCTCGGTGAGCCCCAGCTCACCACCTCACCGGCCGCTGCAAGGAAAGAGTCTTGAAACGCGGTCAAAAACAAAGGTTTAGTGGAACAGAGGGGACGAATCCCCTAACTCCATTCCTGCCGGTCCGGGGACAGGGTGTCGGCCCTCAGCAAGGGAGGGGGGCTCCCGGGATGCTGAGCGCTTCATTGTGTCACCGGGGTCCAGGCAGGGCGGCCCTCTAGAGGTCAGCGCGGTCTCTTGGAGCCCTTGGCGGTGCCTCGGGGGCCTTAGCAGGTGCCCACAGGTACTCGTCGGGCACCTGTGCGTCGGGCTCTTCCTTGCGGTAGAAGCCGAGCTCCTGCAGCAGCGCGTTGATCTCCTCGCGGGTCATCTCACTGAGCGGGATGCGCTGGGAGGGGGCGGCCGACGGGGCGAGGTCAGCGCGCCTGGTCACGCCTCCCGTCCCCCAGCCCCCTCCCTCCCCGCCGAGGCCTCACCTCCAGTTCTCGGTAGCGATGGCTCAGCAGCACGAGCTCGGGGTCGGCCCCGGGGAGGTGCTTCATCACCAGGTTGTGACTGCACAGCGTGTTCAGGCAGGAGAACGGGGGACATAGCAGTGGGGAGGGGGCGCCAGGGTCTGGCTGCCTCTTTTGCTGGGCGCTTGCCCAGCAGGAGGTGGGGCCCGGCTTGGGGCGTGGAAATTAGGGTTTGCAAGGTGTATGCCTTTCCTCCAGCCAGTGTCACTCTTCCCTCAGTCTCTGCTACCAACCCAGGTTGGAAACCTCAGAATCCTACCCATCAGCCTCCCTGTGATACAGAGGGGAAGGGGGGGTCTCCCAGGAGCCCCCCCCCCCACTTGCCCATCCCTGAAAATGGACAAGGATACTAGTATGGGATGTCCTGGTAGACGAAGGCCTTCACCTGGAGGAGGAAGCCAGAGCGTCAGGGGACAAGCCCCTCACCTCCAGGGACAGGTGGGAAAGCTGAAGCCCAGGGCTTCTCCCTCCCACCAACCCCCAAGTGCTTGCAGGAGTGGTGCCTGCTCCCCCAAGGGGCTAGGAGGGACAAAGGGGGTAGGGGCAAGGGGCGCCCTCCTTCCAACTCACCTCCTTGAGGCGGTTCAGCTGTCATCCTCCACAGGTCTGCAGAGTGCAACATGAGAAAGGCTGTATGTCTCCCTCCCCCCGCCCAGGCACAATAGAGGCCAGCCGTGTGCATGGTCTCAAAGTGGGGGCGGGGGGGGGATGGATGAAGGGTCCTCGTGTGCAGAAGGGTGAACTCAGGGCAGGTTGGGAGGATTCAGGCCAGAGGGAAGTGGCTGGGGTCTTGCCTGCAACCCCCCCCCCATCCCCGCCCCATGCACAGGAGATGGGGTCACCCAACTTCTGCTGTGCAGTCCAGTCCTGGGCCTGACCTTTGGCCTGTAGAACTTCTAGCTGAAGACAGACAGAAGTAGCTCTGAACAGCCGTGGGGCCTCCACCCGAGGCCATCTGGTCCCCGCGCCGCCCCACCCCGCCCCACCCTACCCCACCCCACTCCATGCATTGTTGGCCCTGCCAGCCACCTGCAGCCCAGCTCCACTGACCAGATGGTTACTTCCTTGACGTGGGAGAATGGAAGGCCCCACCCCTTCCATGCATATTCCCTTCGAGAAGGCCAGACCGCGGAAATACCCAGTCCAGACTTCCTTGGCTGACCAACCCACTTTAGTCGCGCCCCCCCCCCCCAAATAACACCTCAGGCTCTCAGGAAGGCAGTGATGGCTCAAAGCCAAGGGACCCTCAAGGCACTCTGTAAGTGAATTTCCTGAAATGCGACGGTTTGGGGGGTGGAGCGTTGGTACCCCTAGTTCTCAGCTTTCTTCCATGGCTCCTGTGTGGGGTGCTGGTAGGGGGCTCCCAGAAATTCTTTTCTCTCTTAGGGTAAAGAGAGAGCCTGTCGGGATCCCCAAGTCCTGGAGTGGGCCTGGGGCTGGGGTGAGGGCAAGGGTAGAAATTCCCTGGTGAAAGTGGGAGCGATAGCGGAGCGTCCTAGTCCCGGAAAAGGGGCTGACGTGTCTGGGCTGGATAGGGAGCTAGAGCAGGCTAGAGTTCCAGGCCGCAAGGCTGGGTATCCAGGCTTTGCACTAGGGGCTCCTGGGGCTGGGGACGTGGAAAGCCACAGGGAGAGGAGGGAGGGGGCCGGGCCTGGGGGGAGAAGGGCTGGGTGCGTGATCTTGGGGCGGCAGCAGGCGGGCGGCTCTCCCGGAGGCCACGCCGCCGTGATGCTTGGAGCTGGCGTCGGCGCACTCACCTCTACCCGCGCCCGGGCCAGGCCACGCAAACGGTCCCAATTCGGCCAGTAGGTCCTGGTGGTGGTGGCCGGGGCCACCAGCGCTGCAAGCAGCAGCAGCAGCAGCAGCGGCAGCGGCGGCGGCGGCGGGGGCAGAGAAGGCCGGGGGTGCATCGGGGACCCGGCGGAAGCTGCTCCACAAGCTGGAAGCGCACCACCACCCAGCCGCTGCGCCACGTCTGGACCCGCAGGCTGGCCCCGCCTCCGCTGGGGACCCCGCCCGGCCGGAGACCACGCCTCCGATCGCCCCCCTCAACCGGGCACCGGGTCACAGCCTCGGGCCTGGCGCGATCACCCTTGGAGGGGGTCCTCCTGGCTGCTGTGTGGTCCTCGGGCCTTGGATGCCCTCTGGGCACAGAGTGTCCACACTTTCTTCTGCCCAGCGAGAAAGCGGGGACGCTCCCGCAGGATGCAGCCGGATGTCAGGCCGCCAGAGGGTGCTGGCGGGACGCGCGCCTTCTCGGGGATGGACGCTTTACGCACACCGTGAGGACTGGGTTCACGCTCTGGAGAACAGTACCTGGTGCCGGGTCGGCCCTCCTCGGCAGCCACTTGCTCATCAAGGCCCCGGTGGACTCCACTGTGCAGACTCAGACATGCAAAAGGGAGGACTCGGACCCTGAGCCATCCCATTTCTCCAGACCAGAGATGACCGCAGCAGGATGTCACTTCATCAGCAGACCCCATCTGTCAATTCCACCAACCTTGGATGCAAAACATTCAGAAAGGCGCAGGCCTTGTGATGCGCCGGGTGAAGCCGCCAGAGATCGTTTAAAGTGTACAAGAGGATGGGCACATGTTCTGTGCAAATATGATGTCGCTTTATATGAAGGGACTCGAGCATGGTGGGGGTGGAGTATCCTGGAGTCCATTCCTCACCTGCACCCAAAAAAGATGCAACCAATGAGCTCTTCCTCACAAAATTGAGAAGTTTTTTTTATTTTATTTTATTTTTATTGGACAGTCAGATATTCACAGAGGAGGAGAGACAGAGAGGAAGATCTTCCGTCCGATGATTCACTCCCCAAGTGGCTGCAACGGCTGGAGCTGAGCTGATCCAAAGCCAGGAGCCAGGAGCTTATCCGGGTCTCCCATGCGGGTACAGGGTTCCAAGGCTGTCCTCCACTGCTTTCCCAGGCCACAAGCAGGATGGGAAGTGGAGCAACTGGGACCCAAACTGGTACCCATATGAGATTCCAGCATATTCAAGGCAAGGATTTAGCCATCACACCAGCCCAGAAGAGAACGGTGGTCCTTTTGTGGGAAACACCCTCTGGAGCCAAACCCTCTGCAAAGTGTCTCCTTTTATTTCATTGGTCCATCCACCCTCCAGTCATGTGCCAATCATGTGCAAAGGGTGGGGCTTAACCAATTGGTTTAACCAATGGGTAGATTCCTCTGACTCCTTCCAACTCCAGCTCAAAATGCCATGGGCTCCCCTGGATGAAGCGATGGCAACAGTCGGCCAACTGTATAAAATACAAGCTTATACCAAACCATCATCATCATCCAGAAGGAAGCAATCCAAAAAGTCAAAATGCTCACCTTTTTTGGTAGATTCAATTACAGATGGATTTTTTTTTTCTTTCTCCTTGACACTTTCTTTCTGTATTTTCTATAAGAAGCATGTTTTGCTTAAATATAAATAGTGATGCTTGCTTCTGAAAAAAAAAAAAAGGGTGGAACATATCCCAGTGGTTCCTTGTGCCCCTTCCTCATCCCAGCAAGGATCCTGGAATGACTGCAGCCAAAAGTAGCAAAACATCTGTGGTTTTCTTACCAACAAGAGCCAAACCCAGTGCTCCCGTGGGCCAGTAGGGTTGGTTGGACAAATGCCACCAAAGCACTCTCATTGCATTAACCTGGGCACTGTGGCCTGGTAGGGCCCACAGCTTGGGCTGTACTGGATTGACCAGCCAGCCGGGGCAACCAGGAGTGGAGACAGCAGTCACAATGGTGCCGGGAACATTCTGGCCTGTCCCAGGACAGGTCTGTGCTCGTAAAGCATGCCCCTTATCTGGCAGCAGGTAATCTAGGCCAACAGACTTTTTGGGGTGAGGATGGGAGTGTGGGTTTAGTCTGTGATAGCTGGGGGTGTGGGTCAGGCTAAGAACAGGGTCAAGATCAGCTCTTAGATGAAGGGCAGGTTTGGAACTGAGTCTACAGCCAAATTAGGGCTCAGTCAGTGACCAGGATCAAGGCTCAGTAAGTGACCAGGATCAAGGTTCTATAGGTGACTAAGGCATCAACTCAATGACTAAGCTCAAGACTCAGCTTTGATGAGACTGGGGGCACAATACATGGTCAGGGGTCAGTGTGTGGCCAGAGTTTGCACAACCCAGGCTCAGAATTTAATCTGAGGGGAGGTCCAGCATTGTGAGGTAGTGAGTTAAGTCACTGCCTGTAATGCCAGCATCCTACATGGATGCTGGTTCAAGTCCCAGCTAGCTGCTCCAGTTCTGACTCAGCTCCTTGTTAATGCATCTGGGAAAGCAGGGGTGGATGGGCCTTAGGGAGACCCAGGTGAAGCTCCTGGCTGTTGACTCAGGCCTGGCCTCTGCACATGATTGATCTGGCCAAACAAAAGATCTTTCTCTCTATCACTTTACTTTTCTAGGAAATAAATGCAGCTTTTTAAACAAACATTTGTTGCTGTTTTTTTTTTTTTTTGAAAGGCAGATTTGCAGAGAGGAGGAGAGACAGAAAGATCTTCTGTCCACTGGTTCACTCTCCAAATGGCCATAACATCTGAAGTTGAGTTGATCTGAAGCCAGGAGCTCCTTCTGTGTCTCCCATATGGGTGCAGGGTGTCAAGGCTTTGGACCCATCCTCCTCTGCTTTCCACAAACAGGGAGCTGGAAGGGAAGCCAAGCGGCTGGGACACAAACTAGCACCCCATATGAGTTCCCGGTGCATACAAGGCAAGGATTTAACCACTGAACCAATGCACCGGGCCCAATAAGCACATCTTTAAAATGGAAAATTCAATCTGTAGTCAAGGTTCAATTTATGACCAAGCTCAGGACTCAAAGTAAGAATTCGCCTGCACTGGGGTCAGAGTTGAGTCTGTGACTAGGACCCAAGCTGAGGCTAGGATCCAGGCTCAGTCTAGGTCTGACAGGGAGATTCCACTCAGCCCGATTTGAATGAGAACTCATTCACGGGCAGTGGTTGGCACTCAGTTCAGGGCTGGCGTGAGATTAGGAATCTGTCAACACCAAGGCTGGGGCTCAAGCTGGGAATCTGGGATCAGAGACATGACCGGGGCTGTGCTTCAAAAACCAGGCATCAGAAAAATGGCTACTGAGGGCTGCAGTGGCCTGGGTACTGAAGCAGAACAAACCAGGACCAGACAGAAACTGGGTCACACGCAACCACAATGGCTCCTGTGCCACCAGGCAGGAGAAAAAGGGGTTTGTACCTGGACTTGGTCAATGAATGTTAACAGTACAGGCATTCCCTAAGGAACATTCCAGAATCTGACCCCTCAGGCAGTTCTTTAGTGGCAACTTTTATCCCATCAGGTTGAAGATGACCATCACCACTACCTAAAGGACAATAAAGTGGTCACACCCAGAGCGGTCCTGTCAACAAACTGAATTCTCTGGGAGGGTTCCTTCTGCCTCTGTGCTCCTGCTCTGAGAAGTTTCTGGAGACGTGGGCGCTCGGGGCAGGTCAGTCTGCAAGAAAAGAGATATCCCCCCTCCCCCCACCTCCATTCTCACCCTCATCCACACCCCTGCTGAAATTCCCACCCCCCTAGCCCCAGTGCAAGCTTACTTAGCAGGGTGTGGTCTCTGCAGGACGCTTCCCCATGCTGGCTGAACACGGGTGTCCTAGAGCCTTCTAACCTACATGCTTCCGCTGCCCAAGATCCCCTCGCACCAGAATAAAAATAGCCACTCACTTCAGAGCAGCTGACAGCGGGTGCCGGGCTGCCTGGGAGGAGGGGGAGGCGAGGAGAGGCAGGACAGATGCTTGAGCTCAGACCCAGCTAGGTGACCTTGGCAGAGTCCCTCCCCCTCAAGACGGTTTCCTAATAGGCAGAATTGGGGCTGAGGGTGACACCTGACCCTAGCAGGTGGGAACTAGGTCCTTCCCACTCCACTCTATTCCACCCTATCAGGAAACTTGAAGCCAAGTCTGGGAGAGAAGAAATGATCTTTCGTGACCTCCCCAGGGGAGCCCTGTCTGGTGCTTGCCTCTTTCGCTTTCCCACAGGGTCCCCTGGGTCCCTCTACAACTTTTCCAGGCAGAGCTCCCAGATCCTTCTGCACTCTACTGCCGGCCTCAGGTGTCCCTGGAAGGAGGGAGGCAAGAAAAGAGGCAAGAAGAAGAAGGAAGAGGCAGTGTGTGTGTTCTCAAGGGCACACGTCTCAGTGCCGCATCTTCTCACAGCCAGGGCCTTCCACACCCCCAGCGTTTGCACCTGCTCTTCCTTCTGCTGTTGGGAGACTGTGTCCTCTTTGGGCCCTCAAGTCCCTTCTTCTGTGGAATTGGGGAGCCTTATAAACTGCCTCACAGGACTGCAAGAGCAAGAAGCTGGAACATGAAGCTGTTGACACACTAGCATCGTATCTTCTCACCCTTGGCCCAAACAGCTGGTGGCACCAAGAATTTCCACCAAAGGGCTGGATGAGCTCCCCAAAAAACCTCCCTCCCAACACACACACACACACACCCTGCAAAGTGGGGGAAGTGAGGGAAGGTACTGTTCTCCCTGCCAGCTATCCCCACCCTCCTGCCATGCTCCCCCACCCCATCCTCCCGCCTGCCTGCCTGTCTACCACTCTGAACCCCAGAGCCTGTTATCAACACAGTTAGTCATCACACCAGGAACCCAAATATAGCTCCCACTGTTCCCCTCTCTGCCAGCCAGGGTCCGCCCCCCACCCCCTGCCCCCTTCCCTTTTTTTCCCTTTCCTCCCAGGAGTTCAATCACGCTGGGCCTCAGTTGTAGCATCTGCCAAATGGGCAGGCTGGAGATGATGAAGAGGAGGACAAAGTAACTAAGAACTTACTTATGCTTGGCTCTGTCTGGGTTGATCTTCCCAGCAAATGTAGCAGGTAGCTACCGGGTTGTTTGTTTTCTCTTCCATGCAAAGCAGGAGCCTTAAGTGACTTCCCCCAACCCAGTAAGGGGAATGGGAATGATGGGAAAGGGGCAAGAGGAATGATGGGAAATCCCGGGCTGCTCTCCTGGGCCCAGGCACTCATTTGCGTGACATTTGCCTGGCTTCCAAAAGAGCATTTGCTGTCCCTGCCCCAGCCACCTGGGCCACTGAGCCCAGGACTGCTCCCAGGGGCCTGGCTCTGTCTCTCATTCATCCTAGGATTGCATCAGAAGCAGGTTGTTTTCTCATTCGTAAAATAGGAGCCAGAGGGCTGGGCAGGGTGAGTTTCAACATCCCTCTCTGCGTCCAGCGCTATGACCTAGCGGCTAAAGTCTTCGCCTTGAATGCGCCAGGATCACATATGGGCACCAGTTCTTATCCCAGCATCCCTGCTTCCCATCCAGCTCCGTGCTTGTGGTCTGGGAAAGCAGTTGAGGACGGTCCAAAGCCTTGGAACCCTGTACCCGCGTGGGAGACCCAGAAAAGCTCCTGGTTCCTGGCTTCAGATCAGCGCAGCACCAACCATTGCACTCACTTGGGGAGAAAGTCATCAGATGGAAGATATTTCTCTGTGTCTCTCCTTCTCACTATATATATACATATATCTGCCTTTCCAATAAAAATACATAAATCTTTTTTAAAAAAATCCCTCTCTGGTGATGTGGGCAAGGGTACCTGTTTACTCTCATGTCTTCTCTTAGTGTCACCTCCAACTCCACCACCACAATATCCCCACCATCACTTGGGCCTCCCACCCTCCTCCCCCCACGACTTCCATCACCTGTACCATCCATCACCACGCTCACCTTTATCATCGTGACCCCTTCCACCCAGCACACTCAGTACACTCTTTCCATTGTCATAATCCAGGGCCTTGTCATATCCGATACCTCCCCAATACCACTGTCTGAAACCCTTGCTACTCTAGCACCCTAACACAACCCCAGCCTCACCAAGGCACGGGCTAGACCCACATATTGTGGAGGAAGGTAGGACTTCCTTCAGGAGAGAGTAACGCATCTGTGCACATGACCTTGACCTAGGGGACCAGTAGCAGCAGGTGCCGGGCTGTGGACCAACAGGGAGCTCTGGGCAACAGAACCCAGACCCTCTCTTGTTTACACAGGGTGGAATCACCCTGGAAAAGCAGGATTGCAGGAGAGAACGTTCTGGCAGATAGGAATGGGATGAAAAGGAGGCAGGAACAGAGAGCTCAGAATCATTTCCAGCCAAATCATCACTCAGTTCTTCTTCCAATGCATTCAGTCTTTCATTCATTCAACCACCATTCTCCTCAACCTGGTGGGAACCAGGGTTTGATGATGGATGTTCCCTGATTTTCTTTTCATTGTAAGATTTATGTAGTTGTACATCTGGAAGGCAGAGGGAGAAAGGGAAGCAAGTATTAATCCTTCCTCTTCTCCTGCTTCATTCTCTAAATGGCCACAACAGCCAGGGCTGGCTGAAGCCAGGAGCCAGGAATCCCATCCAGGTCTCCCACATGGGTGGCAGGAGCCCAAGTCCCTGGGCCATCCTCTGCTGCTTGCCTAAGCACATTAGCAGGGAGCTGGATCGGATGTGGAGCAGCCAGCACTGGCACTCGGATATGGGATGCAGCAGCTTAACCAGCGATGTTCAGACACCTGCTTCCAGCCCCATTCTCTCCTGTCCTGCCACTTTTGTGTCATTTTCTACCCTACCCCACCCTCAGTCCACAGCCTGTTCCCTTCACCCAGCTGCTTCAGTGTGCTCCCACTGGTTTCTGCTCACTGCCACTCAGGAGACCTGGCCAGTTCCCTGGGTGACCTTGAACAAGGCCCCTCCCAAGCCACAGCCCTTGAAGACTGGCGAGAGGAACTGAGCCTGCTGACTGGCTGCAGGAGACATTTAAGAGCACTGGGGGTGTCTGCAGAGGAGGCAGTGCGGGGGGGCAGGCAAGGGGGTCCACAGAGGTTGGGCTGGATCCTGAGTGTCAGGTTCTGGGAAGGGAAAGATAAGAGCCAGGGAAGGAAAGGGAGGGGGTGTCCAAGGCTTGAAAATGGAGCAAAGCAAGGGAGGAGGGGTGGCAAGGCACACCCTGAGCGGGCAGGAAGTCAGCAGGGTCATAGGATCCCATGGGGGACTCTGGTGTCTTTGAGGCTCCAAAGAGGGTGCTGTTCTCTGAACCACCTGTTTCCACCTTACCTGCAGGTGTGTCCAGGCCCTTCCCTGGAGCCACAACTGCCCAGGCCTACTAGCAGGAAGGAGCGGGACAATCAGACAGCTACCCTTATGCTCCCAGTCAGAACCTGGCTGCAACCAGTGGGCATAGTCTCCCTCCCATGCCCATACCAGCCACAGCAGTCATCTAAAGTTTCCAGAGGGTGGCCGCCTTCCCCTGGCCACCTACAGACTGGGAAGTGGGTGCCTGTGCCTTTAAATTCTCAGCAGGTTGAAATGGTTGATGACATCACTGGTTCCCGGGAGCGGAGGAGCTGGGGCCAGAGCCCAAGGGAGTCGGGCTGCCTGCCGGGGGCTGCAGACATGGAGGGCCAGGGCGTTGGAGGGAGGCCGGGCACTCGGGCTGGCTTGGGCTCCCTGCCTGTGCCCCATGAGATTCCCCAAACTGGGGCACCCTCCAAGGTAAGATTCCTAAAACCCAGCCCCCCCTCAATCCTGATCCCTGGTCCCACACCCCCACGCACACTGCAGGTCCTCAGGTGTCCCTGGGGCTAAGGGGCTGGCTCTCTGAATCCTGCCCAGCAGGCAGAGGCTAGTCCAGAATACTTGTGGGGGCTGAGGGGGTAAGTACCAGGATGCATAGGAGAGGGGGAGCTCCCCATTTCCAGGAGCGCCCCCCGCAGGACAGCCCTAGACCTGGGTGTCACAGGACCCAGTTGTGCTCCAGCCTTGCTGTGTGACCTTGGGCAAGTTGCTTATCATCTCTGAGCATTTGGGGGAAGAAAAAAAAAAAAAAGAAAAAACCAAGGTTGGCTTGTCTCTGCAGACTAGCACTGTGACATCTGGGATGTAGAAGTTGTTGGTGCTGGGGGCGGTGTGGTGGTGGTGGGAGGAGGGGAGGGGGCAGACAGCGGGACACTTGGAGACTAGAAAAAGCAAAGAGAGAGAGGCTGAATTTCAGGGGCAGGCAGGTCCTCTGAAGCGAGAAGGACATGGAACAGAGTCCGTTCTGCGTCTCTGGAGGCAGGGCTGGGGCCACCCTGGGGTGAGGCTAGCCCTTCCTCTATCCTCACGTTTCAGCCTGCCTTTGGAGACTGAGGCGGGGGCAACATTTGAAACAGGATGAATGGGGAAGGGAGAAGGGAGAAGAGATGGCCCCCTGCAGGGGCTCCCACCTGCTTATAAGTCCTGCGCTGCTGACATTTCCTCACAGTTGGTGGGCAAGGGGTGGGGGGGGGACAGAGAGGGAGGTGCAACCGCAGGATCAACTTTGAATCTTGAACTTGGCACCCATATTAGACTCACACTTGGAGTCTGATGGAGTGCCATGAGCTAGAGATGCCCCTGTGTGTGGTGTGGCTGGGGACCCTCCCCCTAGACCCTTTGTTTTAGAGAGAGAGTATGTGTATGAATGCTGGCTAGGAGTACCCACAGCCCCCTTCTCAGCCCCCACTCAGCTCCCTCTGGGACATTCCTAGAGGACAGAGTAGGGGGAGCTATGAGTCCAGGAGGCTTAGAGGGAGGGTGGGTACTGTGTGGTGTTTTTTGCAGGCTGAGTGTCCCCAGTGTGGGCAGACCTGGGATGGCAGCAGGACTATACCCGGCTGGAGCTAGGAATGGGGGAACAGGAGAAGGTGCAGGGACTGGAGCTGGAGGATTGCACAGCAAAGCTGTCCGGGGTGGCTAGGAGTGGCTTCCGCCAGGAAGACAAAGAGAACTTTCAGGGCAGACTTGAACTCTGCCGCTTCCTCAGTTGGGGTCTCAGTTTGCCCATCTGAGAAAGAGGTGTTAGGTTTGGAGGAGACGGGCAGGGCTTTGTGTCCTAACTCCTCAACAGACTGGGGTGAGATTATGGGAAGAAATTTCCTTGGAAAGTCTCTCAGCTAGATGGAAATCTACATAGATGTTGGGGTGTCAGGTCCCCCTGAGACTTTTACTTCTCCCTCTGCAAGGTGGACTCGAATTTCCAACTCTCAGCCAAGCAGACAGCAGCCCTAGCATCCTCAGAACCCAGGCCGGCCCTGGCACCTGTGGGACCACGAGCAGCCATGTCACCTTCCTCAGAGACACCACGGCTGGCTCTGGAGTCTCCCCGACCCCCCCTTGCCCCACCGTCTACCCCAGGAGGACAGAAAATGGCTCCTGCTCCCCACAGCTCCAGTTTAGCCCCAACATCTGTTGCTCAGCTGGTGATGCCTGCCTCCACCTCAGGGCCAAAGCTTCCCCCTGTGACCTTGGGAGAAGTGACATCCCTGGGGCAGCTAGTGATGTCTGCCTCGGGTGGGTCCAGGCCTCCCCCAGCCACCCTGGGGCCCAGCCCGGCTCCAACTTCCAGAGAACGGAAGCAGGTGTCACCCACCTCCGTGGCACCCAAGCCAGCGCTGGCAGCCTCAGGCCTGAGCCTGGCCGTGGCCTCTCGAGAGCAGCCCCGACAAGTCCCTTCCAAACCTCCTGCAGTGGCCAGCCCAGTGCTGTCCCCTCCCCAGGAGCAGGTCCCAGTTGCAGCTCCTGCTTCCATGGGGTGGACCGCCACCAGGCCGAGAGATGCCTCAGCCCCGAGGTCAGCTCCGTCTTTGGAGGGGCGTCTCCAGCCTCCAGCTCAAGCCTCTCCAGACCCCCGCTTCTCGTCCTCCTTCCGAGCCCGGCCTGAAGCCTTCCACAGCAGCCCCGAGGAGCCTACCCTGCCGCGGCCACCCCAGACTTTGCCCTTGGAGATGGGCCAGGGCCCTCCGGAGCCTACAAGCCGCTCTCCTGGACTTCTGTCCCCCACCTTCCGCCCAGGGAGCCTGTTGGGCCAGAATGTGCCCCCACCTCTACCTAAGCCACCCCGGTCTCCCAGCCGCTCCCCTAGCCGTTCCCCTAACCGCTCTACATGTGTCCCCCCAGCCCCTGACACAGCCCTCCCCAGGCCTAGCACCCAGGGGGCAGCATCTGCCAGGTGCCTGAACCCCAACCTTCAGACCCAAGAGCAGACCTCAGCTCCAGTCACCACCTCCTCTTCTACAGCCATCCCATCGTCATCGCCCTCCTCCTGGTCAGCTCAGCCAACCTGCAAGAGTGACCCTGGATTCCGGTAAAGGCCCGCACTCTCCCCCCTGTCACACACCAGCTTCCTGAGAAAAGGGATCAGGTCTTGAGTTCTGAGCCTAGTCCTTATTCTGGGACAGGAAGGCAGTGGGCTGACCTCTTATGACTCAATTTACCTCCCTGAGGGAGGGTTACTTTGGGACACCCCACCCCTGCCCCTGTCGCAGTGTGACACCTACTTCATTTTCCCCAGAGAGAACTGGGAGGAGGGAGGCTGAGGGGGTAAGGAATGGTGCCCACAAAGTAAGTTGGCCATGTCCCTGCCTCCAGGATCACTGTGGTCACGTGGAACGTGGGCACCGCCATGCCCCCCGATGATGTCACGTCCCTCCTTCACCTGGGCGGTGGTGATGACAGTGATGGTGCGGACATGATCGCCATAGGGTGAGGGTTCAGGGCGCATGAAAACCTCCCCTGCTTCTGAGCCTCCCTGGAGCCTTTCAGATTCTCCTCCAAGCCCTGCCAGGGTCCCTGCAGTCCTGTCCGATGGCAGGCCTCCCCTCTTACCCCTTCACCTCGGCAGGTTGCAGGAGGTGAACTCCATGATCAACAAGAGGCTCAAGGACGCTCTCTTCACTGACCAGTGGAGCGAGCTCTTCATGGACGCACTGGCACCCTTCAACTTCGTGCTGGTATGGCCGCCCTCACCTCTTTGGGAAATGGAGACTCCATCCACACTCCGCTGGATCCCGCCCATCCCTGCGCCCCCTTGACTAGTGGAAAACTGTGGCAGGAGGGAGCAGACCCAGACGCTGCCAGGGTTGGCCAGGGCAGGGGGTGGGAGGGATGGGAGTGGTACCCCATCCCAGCAGGATGTGTCTCCCAGTGCTCCCCTCCCACCCGCCACAGGTGAGCACCGTGAGGATGCAGGGCGTCATCCTGCTGCTGTTCGCTAAGTACTACCACCTGCCCTTCCTGCGGGATGTGCAGACCGACTGCACGCGCACCGGGCTGGGGGGCTACTGGGTGAGCCTGAGGATGGGCCCCGGTCCAGGGAGGCAGCCTTCAATGGGAACCCCCAGCTCCCCCTAATCCTGCAAGGTCTGCTCCCTCTACTCCACATGTGACCCTGAGACCTGCTCCTCCCCAAGCTGCATCCTTTTTTTGCTGGGGACTTCATTGGTTTTCAACCCCTAACCATCTTCATCCCTCCCAGCATCTCACCTGCCCCCCTGACTCACCCACCCCTCCTCACCTCGCCTTACCTCACCTCACCTCACCTCACCTCACCTCATCTCATCTCACCTCATTTTACCTCACCTCACCTCCGCAGGGTAACAAGGGCGGTGTGAGTGTGCGCCTGGCAGCCTTCGGCCACATGCTCTGCTTCCTCAACTGCCACCTGCCTGCTCACATGGACAAGGCTGAGCAGCGCAAGGACAACTTCCAAACCATCCTCAGCCTCCAGCAGTTTCAGGGCCCCGGAGCCCACGGCATTTTGGACCATGAGTACGGGCTTGGTGGGGCCCCATTAGAGGGGGTGGGCAGAGAAGTGAGGCCTGTGGGGGTGAATGACAGCACCTCCCCACACCCTGGCTACAGGTGGTAGGCAGCACCAATGCAGGAGCAGGTTGATGAAGAGGGGCGGAACCTAAAGGGTAGAGCTTTGTGGAGGTTAAACACGCCTCCCTCACACTCCTCCATTGCCCTGTCTACCCACTGGCATTTTAAAGGGTACCAGGGCTGTGGGATGGATGGCTCTGGGTTGGAGCCCTTCCACACCAGAACCCACTTATTAACCCTTTACTCCCGGCCCCAACCAGCCTTGTTTTCTGGTTCGGGGACCTGAACTTCCGCATCGAGAGCTACGACCTGCATTTTGTCAAGTTTGCCATTGACAGTGATCAACTCCATCAGCTCTGGGAAAAGGACCAGGTGGAGAACCCCCAGCCTGCACCCCAGCACACCCTCAGGCACCCACGGCATCCCCCAGGACTCACCCACAACCCTTGTATTATGGTCTTTGCCCTCACCCGGGAACTTGGAGACCCAGACCATTGCCCAATTCCACCCTTCCTGACTCTACTCTCTCCTATCCCCCCCTACCCTTCCACGGCCTACAGCTCAACATGGCCAAGAACACCTGGCCCATCCTGAAGGGCTTCCAGGAGGGACCCCTCAACTTCGCCCCCACCTTCAAGTTCGATGTGGGCACGAATAAGTATGATACTAGGTGAGCAGGGCAGGGATGACGTTGCTACAAGATGGTTCCTTGACCTTCCATCCCTGAAACCTAAGCTACCACACCTTCTGCAGTGCCAAGAAGCGGAAGCCGGCCTGGACGGATCGAATCTTGTGGAAGGTGAAAGCTCCAGGTGGGGGTCCAAGCCCCTCGGGACGGGAGAGCCACCGGCTGCAGGTAACCCAGCACAGCTACCGCAGCCACATGGAGTACACGGTTAGCGACCACAAGCCCGTGGCAGCCCAGTTCGTCCTGCACGTGAGTCTTGGCCTCGTTTTCTTGCAGCATCCCCAACAGTCCAGCATCCCGTGACACCTGCCCTGAGTGTTGCCTGTCGTGACAGATTGAGGCTCAGGGTGTTGAGCTCAGAGACACAGCAGCTCTTGCCCAGGGTCACACAGCTGCTGAGAGGAAAGTTAGGATTTGAATCCAAATCAGTCTGATCTCAAAGCCCATGCCTTTTTCACTGAGCACTAAGTTCTATCTCTTTACCCATTTTGTTTTTATTAGAAAAAAATTTTTTTTAATTTGAAAGGCAGAGCTACAAAGAAAAGAGAGTGAGAGGTGTCATCCATCTGGGCTCACTTCCCAAATGGCCACAATAGCTGGAGCTGAGCCAGGCAAAAGCCAGGAGCCAGGCTTCTGGGTCTCCCATATAGGTGCAGGGGCCCAAGGACTTGAGCCTTCCTCCACTGCTTTCCCAGGCCACAAGCAGAGAGCTGCATCAGAAGTGGAGTAGTTAGGACTCAAACCAGCACCCATACAGATGCCAGTGCTGCAGATAGAAGCTTAGTCTGTTGAGCTTCCGTGCCAGCTCCTTGGAGGGCATTCCTAAGCATCCTTGGGCAGTCCAGACCCTGCTGGTAGAAACCAACAGAGAGAGACCTAGTTTCTTTTGGAGCAGCTGAGCTTAGAAGCTTAGGGAGAGAAACCCGAAGCCAGATAAACAGGGGAACAAAGGCCTGAAGCTGCCAACCCCTGAGTGCTCTCCTGAGGGACACAGGTGAAGCCAGTACCCTGGCCCTTTGTTGCTGGTGACCTGTAGTTCTCCACCCATGCAGGTGAGCTCTGGGCTACCCAGGCCGATCCCTGGAGGAACAACATGGTTTCTACGGTCTGAGAACCAGGCTTGTCCAGGGAGGAAAACTGAGACTTGAGTCAGCCAGGGCCTAGTCTGAGGTCACACAGCCCAGAAATGCATTGAAGCCTCCTGTCTCTCCCACTCAGGAGGGTGCCCAGCCGATCCCCCAAAATGCCGAGGACATCTTAGGCTCTGTCCTGACTCCCTGGCATCTAAGGGAGGCAGTGTTCTGAGCTACGACTGTTACAGGAGGACATTTGTCACACAAATGGCACCTCTCTGAACCTGCAGAGCAGCCTGGAAAGTTCAGCCAGAGTTTCTGAGTAGGCAGGCAAGAGCCTCTGGGCTGGTGTTCTGAAGCCCCAGGATTTGGAATCTCGAGGTTGCAGAACTAGGGCCAAATCCCAGGGATGTGAGCTCCGAAGCCTCCTCCGAAGGAGGCCTCAGTGTCTCCCCCTTGCCTCATCCCGCGGCAGTTTGCCTACAGGGACGATATGCCACTGGTGCGGCTGGAGGTGGCAGACGAGTGGCTGCGGCCAGAACAGGCTGTGGTGCGCTATCGCATGGAGACAGTGTTCGCCCGTAGCTCCTGGGACTGGATCGGCTTGTACCGGGTGAGCAGGGTGGTAGTGAGGGGATCTGGGACTTCTAGGGGAGACGTGGGCCTGGAGGAGCAGGTGGCATCTAAGGCAGCAGAGGTCACTGGCTGGTCCAGGGTTGGTTAGATGCCACACTGGGAAATTGCTTAGGTGGGGCAATGGGCAGGGGTTGAGGGTCATGCCTTGCCCGTTTATGCCTCATCTTCTAGGTGGGTTTCCGTCACTGCAAGGACTATGTGGCTTATGTATGGGCCAAGCATGAAGACGTGAATGGCAGTGTCTACCAGGTACTTAGAAGGAGTGGGAGAGCAGGGTAAGGGTGTGGCATGTCCCTTTGCTCTAAGGACTTCAGAAGAGGTCCCTAGAAGAGGTCCTGAGGCTGCCCACCTAACTCCAACTGGGCTCTGTCCTCCCTGGGCACCTGCCAGGTGACATTCAGCGAGGAATCGCTGCCCAAGGGCCATGGGGACTTCATCCTGGGCTATTACAGCCACAACCATAGCATCCTGATTGGTGTCACCGAACCCTTCCAGGTAAAAAAAGAAAAAAAAAAAAACTCAGAGATGCCAGGGTCCAGGGGGAGGGGGAAGGGGCCAAAAGACGCTGTCTGTTTAATGCCACAACCTCTGCGACCTCAGGTAGCCCAGCCTGCCACAGCTGGGGAGGGTGGGAGTGGTGGCCCGCAGCCAAGGTACCCTGATCCAGCGTGCCCCTACCCCAAACCCCACTCCCTCAGATCTCGCTGCCTACCTCGGAGTTGGCCAGCAGTAGCAGCAGCAGTAGCAACAGTTCAGGCACCAGCTCAGAAGGCGAGGATGACAGCACCCTGGAACTGCTTGGCCCCAAATCCCGCAGCCCCAGTCCCGGCAAATCCAAGCGACATCGGAGCCGCAGCCCCGGCCTGGCACGCTTCCCTGGCCTTGCTCTCCGGCCCTCTTCCCGTGAGCGCCGTGGTGCCAGCCGGAGCCCCTCACCCCAGAACCGCCGGCTGCCTTGGGGAGCCCCTGACAGGGGCAATAGTGGTAGTAGCCGGGGCAGCAGTGAGGAGGGGCCTCCTGGGTTGCCTGGTCCCTGGGCTTTCCCACCAGCTGTGCCTCGCAGCCTGGGCCTGCTTCCAGCCTTGCGCCTGGAGACTGCAGACCCTGGTGGCGGCCGTGGCAGCAGCAGCAGCGGCTCCTGGGAAAATGAGCGGGATGCTCCAACTCCTGCCAGCCTGTCTCCCAGCCCCCATGGCCAACAGAGGCTAGAGGAAGGAGGCCTGGCACCCTGAAGATGGACTGGGCAGGTGGGGCTCAGGTAGCCCCCTACTCTGCCGCAATCCTCTGCATTCCCACCTATTTCTCTTGCTGTTGCTCCGGCTGCACCTGCAGTTGTTTGTCAGCTCTGGCCAGGGGTACTAGCCCTCACCGGGATCCCCTAAAACTCAGTGCTGGCCCTCTCAACTGTGACAATCAGAAAAGCCTCGCCTGGGCCCCCATCTGGGGTGATAGGACATTTCTGGTAGATGTCCCCCACCCTTGGAGGTCAACTCATTTAGGAATTAAATTCTTCCATTCCCTCCTGTCTCCTGCCTAACTTGTTACAAGTCCAGGCAAGGGGGGCAGGCAGAGGCAAGGGAATGACAAAAAAGGAGTGGCTGACTAGGCTATCCGTACCGTTTCATCTGTGCCATGGCCTTGTGGGTTCGTTGCCCTTCTTAGACCCATTTCACAGGTGAGCAAACTGAGGCCTCCCAAAAATTCTCCAGATCAGACAGCAAAAGCACAGACTGACTCTGTGTGGAAGAGGAGAAATATTTACTTGGTGCTCAACATTGCTTGTGTGTTGCTCAACACCTCTGAGGTAGCTCCTGTTTTGTGTCACATCCTTTTCCGACAAATGGTAGAGGACCCTTGTCCAAGGGCATAGCAGGAAGCAGTGAAGGAGGGGGTGAGATTTTGAATTTAGGTTTAAAGCAAAGAGAATAGGGCAGGATTGGGTGCCCCCTAGAGCTGGGACTTCATTCTTGGATTTCAAATGTGTTCTGCTACACCCCTAATTCCTCACATGTGGCTCCAGGTCTCAGCAGTCACGTGCTGGGAGCCCCTCAGGCAGCTACTTGCTCCATGAGTATGCATGGACCCCTGGTACTTTGTGGGGTGATTGTTGTAAGTTATTCCCTCTCCCAATGTATGTGAAATTCCTTGGCCAGATCTAAGCCTAGGGCATCGTGCCCTGCAGGCAACAGAGGGGTTGTGTGACCAGTTCAATGTCACTCAGAGGAGTCAGCATTTGGTCCCCAGCATCCACCGCATCTGGCCATCCATTTGTCCCTCAGTTGTGCTTTGGTCTAACTCATACAGAGTTGGCCAGGACTGCCAAGGCCCATCAAAGCCAAGGGCAACATCCACTCCAATGCCGTGGAGAGCTGAGGTCAAGGCGATCCTGGCTTGGAACTTCTTCTGCCTGTTGGGGCTGCTAGGTTAGCTGCCTGGGTTAGCTGGAGGCACTGGTCATAGAAGGGCATGGGAGGCCCTGGGTGCTGCCCCTCATCCGTGTCCTTATCCTGGAGCTCCCGTCGCCTCTGCCGAAAAAGTCGCCACAGATGCCAAGCTGACACCTCGATGGCCCTGGGGTCCTTAGAACAGCTGTGGGACAGAGTAGGGAAGGGACTGGGGGTCATGCTACAGGGATCAGACAAGTGAGAGAGCTGGCCCGGCGAGCAGCAGGGCTGGGGCCAGAACCACCTGCAAGGTACAAGGCGGGGGGTGCCTAAGGAGCAAAACAATGAACCTGGGCTGGCACCCAGAGCCCAGCGCTGTGCCATGAGCCCTGTCTGGGCCTCCAGCAATGTCCCATGGGAAACAGGAGAGGTCAAGGTGACAGGACACTGTGGCTCAGCAAACCAGAACTGGGATGGCAGAGAGGGATTAAGTGAGTGTGAAATGAACGCGTCAGCTGTGCGTCAGGCAGCACCTTGGGAGATGCCTCACGGGGGTGGGGATTCGGGCTGGCAGTAAGGCACTGCCTCGGCCGCTTCCCAGACCCATTCTATAGAGAAGGAAATAAAGGCTCCCAGAGGCGAATCAACTTGTCAAGAATACCCAGCCAGGAATGATAGGACAGAACCAGCATGTAATCCTCACATAGGCCAACTGCCCAGCTGGGCCTGGGGCAGCAGCAGGAGAGAACAGGAGAAAGAAGAAGGCTAAGAAGCTCAGAGGTCCACCCCCCCATCCCTCCTCCCATCCCCTTGGCTCCAGGTACTCGCCAACCCCAGAGCCTCCATCTAGTCCCATCCATCCTATGGGTAAGTTCTATAGTCACCTACCCTTCGCTCACGATACAGTCCAGAGGAAGTGCCAGCTTGAAGCAGGTCATGCCCAGCTGCTCCCACAGTATGTCGGTGCCCGCAGGGGAGCCGTGGAGCCTCAGGAAGCGTGCTAGACTGAGGGCAGAGGCAGGCTCAGCCAGGTGGGCCTCGCAGCAGCAGGACAGGCTGCCCACCCCCACCAGGGTCCTGGTCAGCCTCACCGGCGCGTGCAGTCACAGTGGAAGAGGGGCCTACGAGCAGTGTTGAGCAGCCGGAACTTGGTCTCTTGTGACCCAATCTGGAACTCACACTGGTCCAAGTGGCGGAAGCCGCGGCAGGCCTGGCGGGCACCTGGGGTGCAGGTGGTAGTGTGGTGGTGGTGGTGTCAGGAGCATGCCTGCCTTCCCGGGGAGCCCCGCTGGTGCCCACCACCACCCAGAAGAAATACCGGCACCCAGGCTTTACCGATGGGCACAGTCTCCCTGTGTCTCAAGCCGTTTGTATTCCCCAAGAGCTCCCTGTTCAGGAGTGCACCCTGACATACACACAAAGGAAATGCCACTGGCAGGGGGAAGGCATGGGGGGTGAGGGGTGGTCAGGGAAGGCTTCCTGGAGGCAGAGGCTGAGAGAAGAAGAGGAGGAGGAAAGAGATGACCACAGGCAGCAGGGACAGCCTGTGCAAAGACCCAGAGGTAGAAGACCTTCAAGAGGAACCACACAAAGCATATGAAACCGGGGTTGTACCTAAGAGGGTTGGGGCTGCTGGCTCAGGACTCAAAGGTCTAGAACACTGGGACATCATCAGCCAAGGCAAAGAAGGGCCCTGGGCGGCAGAGAGTGGAGGAGGGCTCAGCAGCCACGTGTGGGGGTGATTGGGGTCTCACATGGCCATGTGATTGGATGGGACAAGCTTGGGAGACCCTGGGAGGCACTCATTTTTTGTGTTTAGCCCTTTATTTTTTATTTTAGTTGAAGGACAGAGAGCTCAAGAACAAGAGAGAGAAACAGAGATCGTCTATCCACAGGTCCAAACACTTGCAACAGCGCTCAGTCAGGCCAAAGCTGGGAGATAGAAATTCAAGCTCAGGCTCCCAGGCCAGCAGCAGACACTCAGCACCTGGAGCCACTCCCACTTGCTGTCTCTCTCAGCGTGCACTTTAGCAGGAAGCTAGAATCGGAAGCGCAGCTGGGATCAAAACCCAGGCATTAGGATACAGGAAGTAGGCATCCTTAGTGTAGGATTGTTATTGCTGTGCCAGACGAGAGGACTTTGGAGCCGGAAAACATGCAGCACAGGCCTGCCTGCCCCTCCCCTGCCCAAGCACACACCCCTTCCCCTCAAGAAACTCCCTCTCCGCACCAAGGTCAGGGTCTGAGCTCACCCTGACGTTTGAGTTCACCCCGTGAGCTCTGAGGGCCTGGTTGAGGAGGCATCCCAGACTGGTCTGCTGTGGGATCCAGCCCTGGTACGGGGGAGGCCATGGGGGTCTGGAAGGCTGTGGCATTGGCTGTGCTCAGCCGCCTGGATGCTTTGTGCCGCCACCACCACTTCCGACGGTGCTGCTGCTTGAGTGCGGGTTTGGTCGGGGCTGGGCTCTGGGGGCTGGGAGGCAGGGAGGTGGCTGTGGAGCTCCAGGAGGCATTGTAGTGGGTCCTGGGCTGGAGACGGGCGTGGGGCACCAGGCCATACGTCCTACACCTAGAGCGGGGGGCAGGTTGGAACCCATTAGTGACTCAGAATCCCTGCTCTCAGGTGGCACTAGGGAGACCAAGACTTTGCCAGTCCTGTGCCCCATCCCATTGGACTGCCCAGGTTGGTGGTGGGGTTGGGGGGAGCACCCTAAAAGAGGATACATGCTGGGTCCTGCCTTTTCCTGCCACGCAGACAGCCCTAGAAGACAGACAGCATCCATCAACAGGCCTGTAGCCCAGGCTCCCACACTGGTTGGGAAAGGAGTGGGGTGGGGGTGGGCAGCCATGTACGTACCCGCCCCACCAGTACCACTCCACACACGCCTCCTGCTCCTCCAGCACGAAGCAGGGGATCTCCAGCACGTTGAAGAAGGCAATGCCCACGAGGTCGGAGATGGAGTCGCCCTGGTTCCTCAGGCATTGCTGGAACCTGCCCCACAGCAAGCTATTCAGGCTCCTGGACCACACGGCAGGCCCACCTGGCTCTGCCCAAACCCCCCACTTTCCTTCTGTCTGCAAGCTGTTAGGTTTTTTTTTTTTTTTTTTTTTTTTTTTTTGGTATCTAAATTCCTGTCCCTCTCAGCCTCCGCTTTCCCACCTGTACCATAAGGGTTCCAGTTGGCAGATCTGATCTTGAAGGTTCTCTGGAAGTGGATGGAGCCCCTCCCTGCCGGCGAAAAACCTAACCTGGTGTCACAGTCGCAGTGGGAGATGGTGTGGAACCGGAAGTTGCGGATACCATACTGGTACTGCAGAGGAGAGATGTTCAGTGGGCAGCGGTCGTGTTCTTGACAGCAGAGATCGGGGCCCTGGAAGATGCCTGTTACAGAACAGGGAAGGCACCTGCTCAGCCGCTCTGTGCACCTGATACCTCACGTCCCCTTTGTGTTACCACTCTCCCCCTCAAAGCTTGCACGGAAGGGGCACCTGTTGGTCTCACTTCTGGGCAGCTGAACCATGGGCACTTTTTCTCCAGGGGATTCAGAGTGAACGAGTGAGTGTGTCTCTTGGCCTGGCCAACAGCAAGCATGACCTTTCTCTCCAGCACAAACCAGTTGGTTTCCAGAATGCCAGTCTGCCCAGAGGCAGGTGCCAAGTTCTCTACCTGCCCCTGCCGCCCTCTCCCCCTCCATGTTCTCACAGAAAGTGTTGCACCCAGCAAGCAAGCATGCAAGCAAAAATGTAACCCAGGTCGCTTACCGTAGGAGCACTTTTACCCTTTACCCCAGCATTTCTTCCTGGCCCAGCCCTTCCCACACCCAAGTTCTCGGCCACCTGGTGAGGGAGGGAAGAACCACCTTATTTTTACAGGTGTGGAAACCACGGGTCAAAGCTTGGGTGCGTTGGGTGGAGCCTCTGCTTCCTGGCGTGTGCTCCACCAAAACCTAGGCTCAGGCAGAAGCTTTACTGGCTCAGTTAACAATTCTCTCCACCCAGTCTCCTCACTTCCTCAGAGTGGTGATGACCTTGTGGAAGCGTCCCAGCCAAGAGACCCATGGTCACACCTCTCTTTTGGCCAATGTGGAAATGGGGTTTCAGAGTGGGTAAGACACTCCACCGAGGACACCCAGCAGAGGGGAAGTGAAGCCGAGGCACTTAACACTAGCACACAGACCTTCAGCCCACGTGTCGGCCCATCCCTGGGTCCCCACGACTTACCCAGCTTCGAAGAGTTGCCGGCGGAGTCCCCGACCCCACACCACAGCGTGCCAGGCACGGTCCAGCCTCTTTTCACTCGCGGGTACCCGCCCGCCTGAGCTCCAGCCTGCGCGGTTGCTCGCCTCTCCCTGGCTTTGGCCAGGGACGTGTCTTCGGGTCCCGCACAAGCCTCCCGTTGAAGCGTGGCCAGCGCTCTCTGCAGCTCGGGTCCGGGGGTGTGGGTGAAGGAGTCCCGCGTGGCCTCATGTGTGCAGAGGGTGCGGTAGGCTGCGGTGAGCTCCGGCTCATCCTGCCGGCTGCACGCCTGCAGTCTCCTGCGCGCGTCCCAGCGGGCTTGGAACAGCGCCAAGCCCTGGGCATCTTTGCCCAGGAAGCTCAGAGAGCTCAAGGGGCTGCCAGGGACGAGCCCCGCCAAGTGGCAAGAGGTGCTGTCCCAGCGGAGAGCGGGGCAGCCCCCAGGAACCACCCCTAGGAAGCTCAGTATTCCCAGCAGCACTGCCGGAGCCCTCATGCTGCCCTCAGCCCAGCCGGGCTAAGGGCTAGACAAAGCTCCTGGGATGCCTGCCTGCACACGCGGTGGCAGTGGAGCGGCCCCAAGCGGAAGCAAGGCCGGGCAGGCTCCATGCAGCGGGGCCAATGAATGGAGCTGCTACAGGAGGAGGAGGATGGAGGATGGGGTGATCTTGGGCTTGTAACCGAATCCACCGGCCAAGTGGGCCTCCGATTGGCTGAGGAGCGCATTTGCGGGGCCCACGCCCCCACTCACCCAGCCCTTCTCCCGCGCCATCCAGTCACCTGCTGCCAGCCCTGCCTGGATAGGGACTGCAGGGAGCCAAGATTTTCTGGCCGGGCAGTAGGAAGAGAAGAACAGGTGCTGGGCGGGGTTCTGCATCTCCTTAGGAAGGCAAGAGGGTTCAGAGCTTGGAGGAGGCTCCCAAAACCGGGTCTCCTGCCTTCCCACTCTGAGACCGACTGCCACGCCCACATTCAGGCTGGCAGGAAGCCACGCGACCTGTTTGGGGGACTGGGTGAAGGTGGTAGTAAAAGCAGGGGGTGCTGGGGCAGGGATGGAGCAGGGAAATGACCACCCTGGGAGTTCTCAAGGGCTCTGGGACTGGAAATGCCTAGTCCCCTGCCCATGCCCTCCTGCTCTACTACCTCCCACCCTTAAGTCCTGATTCTTAGAAATGCTCTCCGCAGGGGTGGGGGAGTTGGCACAGCAGTTGACAAGGACACTTGGGTTGCCTGTAGCCCTTAACAAGAGCCCCAGTTCCACTGCTAATTCCACCCACCTGCCAAATGAGCACCCTGGGAGGCAGCAGGTGAGGCCTTCAAGTATTTGGGTCCCTGCCCAGAGATCTGGATTAAGGACCTGGCTCTTGCAGGCGTTTGGGAAATGAACCAGCAAATAGGAGTATACACACACTCTCTCTCCGTGCCTCTTAAAAAAATAAAATAGAAGCTGGCATGGCATGATTGGCATAGCAGGCTAATTATCTACCTGCGGTACAGGCACCCCATATGGGTGTTGCTTCTAGTCTCAACTGCCCCACTTCTGATCCAACTCCTTGCGGGAAGACTGCAGCTAACAACCCAAGGTCTAGGGGCCCCTACAGCACCCTGGAAGAGGCTCCCACCTTCCAGCTTTGGGCCAGCCCAGTTCTGCCCATTGCAGCCATTTGGGTTTCTCTGTGTGTGTGTGTGTCAGGAAGCTGGATGAGACCTTTGGCAGACAGGATCTGGTGTCTAAGACGTGGTCTCTAAGGCCTCAGGGTGTACCTGGCTAGGACGGAGCTTTCTCAGGACAAAACCATGGTTTTCAGGCCACAGGGTCAGTGCTGTGTGCTGTTGCCGGAGGTACCATGGGATTGTTGGTGAAGCCATGGCCTGACCATGCATCTCTGGGCTTGGTTCCTCCTCTTTCCCAAAACAGAGGGAGGTCTTTCCACATCTGGGCTCCAAAGGGAGATAGGCCTGCTCGGTCTCCAGGCAGGGTGTCAGCATACACCCCCACCCCAAGCCTGTCACTCAGGTCCTGCTTTCCTGATGGGGTGACCCCAGGAGGCGTCCCATCAGAGGACAGGAGGGGGCCGATCCAGCAGGACTCAGGCCCTGACCCACACAAAGTGGGGTGGGTGCCCATGGGGTTCAGGAACTGACCACCCACCCCCGGCTATCTCCCTCAGCCCCGATCCCTCCACTTCCTTTTGGCTCTGTGCTCCTCTCCTCCACCCGCCACCCCCACCCCCAACACACACACTGTTTCTTGGTCACTTTCTTTGCCTCATGCTAATCCTCCCTTCCTTTCTGATTCCTCCATTTCCCCCATTTCCAATTTCCCTCTCCCCACCCCCCTTTTTATTGGAAAGGTAAAGTTACAGAGAGAGAGAAGAGACAGAGAGAAAGATCTTCCATCTGCTGGTCTCAATGGCCAGAGCTGAGCCAATCCGAAGCCAGGAGCCAAGAGCTTCCTCTGGGTCTCCCACACGGGTGCAGGGGCACAAGCAGTTGAAACATCCTCCTCTGCTTTCTCAGGCACATTAGCAGGAAGCTGAATCGGGATTGGAAGAGAAACAGTGGGGACATGAACCGGTGCCCATACAGGATGCTGGCGCCCCAGGTGGAAGATTAGCATGCAATGCCACCACACCAGTCCCACGAAGGGTAAATTCTTAGGGGGGCACTAACCTTTCTCTTTTCTACCCTCCTGTTTCCACGATATCATCTCTTCACTTCTCCACCTTCCCCCGTTCTCTTTCTTTCTTGCTGACACTTCTTTCTCTGTCCCACACCCTTATTATCCAACCCTGAATTTATCTGCGATTCCACTTCTTCTCCTTCCTCTCCTTGGCATCCCCTCACTGTCCCTCAGTTAGAGATACGCCCTTTGCTTCGGGGTGCAGGTGTGCCTCTCCTCCTTCTCCCCTAATTCTCCTCTCTTCCTCTGGCTGCTCCCTCTTTTCCTCCGATACAACAGCTCCCATTCTCAGCCCCAGACCCCGCCCCAGAATTCCCTGCATGCTTTTCACTCTTTCCCAGTCAACCCCTTCTTCCCAGCCATGACCTCAACCCCTGCCGCTCCATGGACAGACGGGCTAGATGGGGCTTCTCATTTACTGGGGCGGGGGGCTCAGGAAGAGGGGTGACTTATGGATCGCTCTAGCAAAGTGGACAGACAGCATCCCCCAGGACATGCAGGAGTCTTTCCAGGGTGCCCCTGCAGCACCCCCTCCCCTCTTTCCCAAAGGGGGTGCCTGCTCTCCACCACTGGGAGCTGGTATTCCTGGGCTTAGGCAGAGGGCTGCCTGCAGCTCCCTGTGCCAGCAGAATGGGGCCAGGCAGTGCTTAGCTCCAGAATTCTGTGCGTTCATTCAAAAAAAAAAAAAAGTGATTGAGTCTACTGGGTACCAGGCACAGGTCAAGACCCTGGACAAAGCCTGCTCCTGAGAGAGTAGGGGAGGGGGCAAACCAGGGTGTGCTCAGAGCAGGGATGGGGGAGGGACGCTGGTGGTGCAGAGAGGGAGGACTGGGACCTCGTCCTCTGGGGGCGCAGGGTCTGGCAGTGCAGAGATGGTCCAGTGTCGGTTGGGTCCTCCAGCAAGCCGCTGTCAAGACAAGAGTCAGAGTCCAGGGCATTTATTGGAAGAAATGCCTGGGGTGGAGCACCACCGGGGTTCGGAGCGAGCGAGGGAGGCCAGAGCTCTCTCTGCTTCCGGGCTGCTGCAGACAGATCTAGCAGGTTCTGCGGCAGGGCGGGGGGCGGGGGGGGGGAGGCTGTCCATTAAACACTCTCTCACAGCCAAGAGTTGTCTTGGCTGGTGCAGGGCTTCTGGTAGACCTGGAGGTGCGAGAGGGGGAGGCTGGCACAGGGAGAGCCCTGGAGATAAATCCCCGCTCTGGGCTGCAGGGCTGTGCTTGTTGTGGCACTTCTGGGCGGTTACTCATTTCCTCCTCCGTGAGGTTGGCTTCATTAAGCGACTTGCTTCTAGCAAATAAAATCTGCTGTAAATGATGTTACAACTGAGACTCCAGACTGGAAAAGCCCCATGCTCTCTTGTTCCAAGGGGGTTGGTCACCGTGTCCCAAAGATGAGACCCTGTGGGGAGAAGGGGCTGAGTCCCTGAGAAGCAAATTTTTAGGCCTCAGTCAAGCCTTTGGATGAGTCCTGTCCCATTTGAGTTTTAAAAAAGATTTATTTATTTTTATCACAAAGTCAGATATACAGAGAGGAGGAGAGACAGAGAGGAAGACCTTCTGTCAGATGATTCATTCCCCAAGTGACCACAATAGCCAGAGCTATGCCGATCTGAAGCCAGGAGCCAGGAGCTTCATCCAGGTCTCCCACGCGGGTGCAGGATCCCAAGGTACTGGGTCCTTGATTTTTTTCTTAAGATTTATTTTTACGGGCCTGGAGTGGTGAACTAGCAGCTAAAGTCCTCACCTTGCATGCCTGAGATCCCTTATGGGCACCGATTCATGTCCCAACTGCTCCACTTCCCTTCCAACTCCCTGCTTGTAGTCAAGGACCCTGCACCTGCATGGGAGGCCCAGAAGAAGCTCCTGCTTCCTGGCTTCATATCAGCTCAGCTCCAGCCAATGTGGCCACTTGGGGAGTGAGTCAGCAGATGCAAGATCTTTCTTTCTGTCTCCTCTCTGTATATCTGCCTTTCTTGGAAGGGATCCTGGGCATGCAAGGCAAGGATTTTAGACACTAAGCTACTGTGCCAGGCCTGGATTCTCTTTTTTCTTTTCTTCTTTTTTTTTTTTTTTAAATAAAATATGTATTTACTTAAAAGGCAGAGTCACAGAGAGGCGGAGAAAAAATGAGAAAGCTAACTTCCACTGATTGGTTCTCTCACCAAAGTGACGTCAACAGCCCTGGCAGGGACCAGGCTGGAACCATGAGCCAGGGACTGCATCCTGGTCTCCCGCATGGGTGGCAGGGGCCCAAGCACTTGGACCATGTTTCGCTGCTGAGTCACAAGTGGGGTAGCTAAGGACTCCAACCTGGTGCTCATATGGCATGCTGGAGTTTCAAGCTGCTGTTTAACCCACTGTGCTAGGATGTCAGATGTTGCTCCCTGCGTGTCTTTTTTCTTTTTGTAATAGCTTTTCAAGAGATAATCCACTCGCTTTGCCAGCTACTCAAAGTATACAATTCAGTGGTTTTTAGGATGCACGGGTGTGCAATATCGCAGAAACATGTCAAAGAAAACTTTTACCCAATAAATAGCCCTTGTTGCCTTCCTTCAGTCCCTAGCAATCACTAATCTACGTCATGTCCCACAGGCTTTCCTGTTCTATACTTGCATACATAAAGACGCCTGGAACAGATGGTCTTTTGTGATTGGCTGCTTCCACTTAGCATAAGGTTTCCAAGGTCCATTAAGATGTTAGTGTGCATCCCTCCCTCCTCCATGCCTTCTCATGACCGGACATAACACAGTATGAAAGGCCTGGGTGGGGAGCCAGAGCGATAGCCTAATGGCTAAAGTCCTCACTTTGCACACA